CCTGCCGGACATGAAAATCGAAAAAAATCCGGGAAATTTGCCACGTTGGAAAGGCGCCCGCTGCCGTGGCCTAGGTTTCTCACTGAAAATCCTCGTCCCCCGGGGGCACCTTTTTTTGAATTTTCTTCCTTTTCAACGCCGTTTTTCGGGAATTTCGGATTTTTTTTCGAATTTTTTCGCAATAATATTCGGAAAATAGATAATTTTTAACACATTTTAATGCAATAAAAATTTTTGGTCAGAGTCCCCCTTTAAACATCAAAAATTGAGAATTTTTTCGAATTCGAAAAGAAAGCTGAATTTTTACAGAGGTTTTTTTGGAATACAATTGGAACACAATTTTTTTCATGATTTGCACTGTTTTTCTTTCAAATGTTTGCAGGTTTTTCGAGATATCAGAGAAATTTAACAAAAACTTTGAAAGTGATACTGTATATTTCTTACCTGGTACTACTGTAGTTGGAAGCTCACAAACATATTGCTTCGGTTCATCGCTGCACTGTCCATTTAGCCATTTTCCAGCTAGTGTTCCGTCCGTCACCAAATAGACGCATTGGCCAATGTCGACTTCTGGGAATCCTGAAAATATAAATACACTTGCCTGTATCTGAAAACCAACAGCCTCACCTGGTGAGAAACTATTGAAGCTCTCAACGGCTCCGGTGGAATCATCCCAATAGCACTTTGACGGATCACTATCCACACAAAAGATTCCAATCCACACGAAGGAGTTTCCCTTGACAAAGTTCGCCAGAGCGCGATTATCCTGTAACAGTCACGTCAAAGGGGAAATCCAAAAGATAAAACCCACAATCGCATTTTTCGGTGTGCTCAAAGTTGCTCCATGCGACATACAATTTTTGGCGGCGTGTGCATGGTCCACAGGATCTTTGAAGAAGGCCAAACACTTGTTGTTGACCAATGTGAAGCCATTCGGGCAGACTGGAGCACTTGCGTAACCCCATGAAACCAAGAATAGAAGCAACCACATGGTTTGTGTTCTTGGTGAGAAGTTCTCAATGAGAAATAATCCTTATCGTCACTTCTTAAATACTGAAAAAATTGATGATATTGGCAGAGGAAGGAATCGGAAGAGTGTCAACAAGAGCCTCGTCTTATCAACTGATGTTTTCGTTCTTTTTTTTACGAATTTTCCTAGTTTTGTGCACTCACTCGCATCGGAAACTCGTGATTTCATGGACAAGCTTACGTGGATCATGCTACTTTTCGAAATTGACATCTTATCAGTAACGTGACGTAAATAGTCTGTTACTATAAAAGAAGTGCGGCTAGTTTGATTAAACAGACCAGAAATGTGGGTTACTGTTCTTCTTGCTTTATTCTCTTTCAATGCCTTCTCAACAAGTCAAGTGCCAGGATGTACGAATGGTTTCACGCTGCTCAATGGAAAGTGCCTGAAGTTCTTCCCGGATAAACTACATCAGTTAGACGCCGAGGGCATGTGCACATATGTCGGAGGAAATCTCGTGGCATTGAAGAATAGTGGAGTAAGTATTATCTGGACTGACCCGGAATACCTGTAAAAGGGGCCTTCGCGGGACCTGTCTTTTAACAGTTTTTCAAAAAATATCATTTTGTAGTACTCGTCATGTTCTATCATATCTAGTGACCCTGTTCAATATTGGGATTTTTTTTTGTTGCAAAAAGGAAAATGTAGAGCTTGGAAAGATTTACCATATGACACCCAATTCGATTATGGTCGAGTCCTGAATTTGCTGATCCTGCTGTTTTCGGTCAACTGGTTCGGAAACTGTGTTTATCCAACATAGTCGAATTGGGTGCCACTTTGTAGATCTCTTCAAGGTCTACATTTAGCTTTCTGATGAAAAAAACTCTCAAAATGGAACTGGATCATGGTGGGCATGTTCAATACGTTCTAAGAGTTTCAGGATGACATTGCCATCGAAAAAATTGTCAACGGCCAGACCCACGCCATCTGGATCGGCTTGTACTGTTTCGGGAACGACCCATCACAGTGCTATTGGGATGATACAACATCAGTCGTGGACAGTTACAAAAACTTTGCAAACGGTTTGTAATCCGAATCGAATTCTCTGAAAATCAAAATTTCAGGATTCCCTCTATCGGATATTGGAAATTGTGTGCACTATTCGGTTGGAGGGTCTTTGAATGGGAAATGGACCAGTGGAGACTGCAAAGGACAATCCATGTCATTCGTTTGTGAATTGCCGGCCACTTTTGAAGGTGAACAATTTTCCTTTTGAAATTTATTAATAGGTCCTAAAAAGCAAAAATTTCATACAATTCTGTCTGAAAATCCCATTTCTAGCGCTTATAGGAACCGAGATAGAGCCGTTTCAATTCTAGGAGGCTAGAGACGCAGACGACGAGACGCGCTCTAACCTCGGAACCTTCAAATAACAGTATCTCGAGTTCTAGATGAACTAATAAGTTGGTTTTTGGACAGAATTGAATGAATAGAAATGGCTTTTCAGATTATTCATTTTTGATCCTTTTCGTACTGAAATCGTGGAAAACAGGTGTCTGTCAAAAAATGGCAAATAAAACCAACTTTCCAGATGCCTGCACGTTCAACTACGGTGGATCTTGCTACACCTTCAACGACCCTCTTCCATTCTCAGATGCTCAAGCAGCTTGTGAAAAGGAATGCGGAAACTTGGTTTCTATCAATTCCTTCCAAGAGAATCGATACCTCAACCAATTGATCCAAGACTCAAGTACCGATTATCTCATCGGAGCATCGTTTGCAACTCCAGACTCTTTGAAATGGATTGATGGATCTGATCATTCCTTCCTCAATTTGGATCCTTCAGTTCCGAGTCGTTCTCACTGCTTGGTGATTTCTTCTGGACTATTTGGAGTCGAAGTAAAAGGAAACTGGTACGGTGTGGACTGTGGCAATGCTACACGCTTCATTTGCGAACGCCCGGCAGGTCTTGGAGAATGTAACCCACATGCTCCGGTTACTGTAGCTCCTGCACCAACAAATCCATCAAACTGCAATAAGTACATGTTGATGGCACCTGGAATCATCACATCGCCCAATTATCCAAACAATTATGGCGATGATGTGTCTTGTACCTACCGTATCAATACTCTTGGATCCTTTAATGTTTTGCTTCAATTCACTTCATTTTCTACGGAACTGAAGAATGATGTCGTCAGTGTTTATGATGGAGACATTATCAATCACCAAACATTCAAAGGGAATTTCAGTGGAAACTTGGATCGATTCAATTTGGTATCTTCTGGTAATATGATGACGGTTGTTTTTAATTCGGATGCACAAAATGGAGCAAAAGGATTCAAGGCGAAATTCTCGTCCTATGCTGGGCTGTAAATTTTCTTAATATTTTTTGTGGTTTTGAAAAATAAATTTTTGATGAGAATGAGAGTTTTAGAATCAAAAAAGATTTTGAGGAAGAAGGAATGAAAATCTGGTGGATTGAAAAATAAAGAGAATGGAACTCCTCTCGGGTCTGATCCTTAGAACGAAAATAAATTATGGAATGACTAGTTTTTCCAAACAGCCAAACATTGTTTCTTGAGTTCCGGCCCCTATTTTCCTCCTTCACCTTTTCACTAATTATCATCTCTTCCAGGTGAATGTACCAAGTTAAGACACCTGCACTCTTTTTGCCCGGACCCTGATGGTCAATTTTTCCCCAGGAGGCGATATCTTTTTTTTTCATTGCAGCGGCAAATCATATTCAATTTAACAACGAATTTTCAGCTTATCATAATTTATTAAATTTCAGAATATTAAATTTCAAAAATAGGCAAAAGTTAACAAAGTTATGAAAAGTAGTCACAATAATCAAAAAAGGAACATATCTCAAACAACAGAAAGTTCCAAAATACCATTGTTACCAATAATAGAGACAAATGAACAACCGGGGAATAAGTGACAATTATTCATCAAATGGGTCTTCATTGCTGGGAATCCATTTGCTGAGTGGGTTCCTCTTCCGACTTCCAGCCACGCCTTCTTTGCTCCGACCATCCTCATCTGCTTCACAATGTCCTGAATATACGAAACCATTCCCATTGTTGTCATTCCGTGCAGGTCGTGGTAATCCTTGCCATTCGGATGTTCCACATTGAATTGCCGGACCTTCAAATTGATAGCCGCCTCCAATTGGAACTGTTGGGTTAATGGCGCCATCATTCTTTGCGTCTGAAATAAAGATTTTATTAGAAATACATATTTAACTATGTTTCACTTACATGAAGCTGCTGGATTTCCTCCTGATGCTGTCTCTTCAACACCTTAAACTCTGGCGTGTCGGCCCGACAAAACTTGTACAGCAAACCATCACTTGGATGGATATACTGACAAGCCAGTCTGTACGGACAATCACCAGAACCTCCAGGAGCATAGTTACGACATAAGATTGTCTTGTAACTTTTGTTAGCTACCTGTTGGTCTGGGATTGAACCGTTTGACCGCAGCTCTTCCACCCCATGGGCAAACCTGCAGGCAGCTCCATGGGGGCAGACGATGCTCTTGCCCGAGTTGTGCAACTTACAGAGCCGGGTCTTGTAGTTGCTTGGCACCTCGTTCTCTTTATTATCCTTATTGCATGGTCCACATGGCAGACTGAAAAAAAATTCATTCAATTTGAGTTCAGGTATTTCTATTCAAATTGTTATGTCAGAATTTCTAATAAATCGCCTTACCGTAAAACCTCTAATAGAACGACACCCGGATCGTCCACTTTGAGCCTATATCTCTCACTTCTTTTGAAAGATATCAAAAAGTGGTTAACTAGTAAAATGTTTATCAGGATATCAGCAACATTTTACTAGTTAGCCACTTTTTGATATCTTTCACAGAAAATGAGATATATAGGCTCAAAGTGGACGATCCGGGTGTCGTTCTATTAGAGGTTTTACGGTAAATGTCAAAACATTTTCAAACGTTTTGCTATATTTTGAGTTTATGTTTTTAAAGGCGCATAGGGGGACTTGTTCAGACTATTTTGAAGTTGATTACTCAAATATAACAAAACCAGTTCAGTAGTTTGAAAAAATTGCAGAAACAGCCCATTAAATTGATTAACACATTTAATCCTATTTTTCATAACGGAAAAAACTTACAGTTGAGGATAATATTCATATCCATATTGCTGCATTGGAACGGCCATTGCCATTGTTGGATGAAATCTGAAATAACAAAAAATTACAAATGGTTTGTTTTTTGAAGTTGATTCCTCTTTGATATTTCTCGAAGAAACCAAAATACAGTACTGGACAAAATATCTCATATTTTGACTTTTTCAGTGGGAAATAGGCAACTTTGAAAGCCTAAAAAAGTAGCCCAGAATTGTTTAATTTGTCTGGAACTTTCAGAGTATACTAAACATAAATAGCGCTTCAGTTTTGTAAATGACAACTTTTTTCCTCAAACATTATCTAAATGAGATATGCCGTTTTTAACCAGAAAGGTGAAAAATGAGAGTTATGCCAATTTCAATCGTTTTATTTGTCCTTGTTGAATTTTTACGAAAAAAATGGTCGATTATAAAATTAAAGCTCTAGTTTTGTTGAATACATTCTGAAATTTTGAGATAAAACGAAAAAAATTTAGATAAGTGTTTGAACTTGAAAATTTATAATCTTTACTGATAGTTTTTAAAAATAATTTCTTTCTGGACGGGATACTGTAGAACTACCAAATTTCAGCTTATCACAAAATCAAGTCTTTAGTTTGAATTTAGAATAAAAAACGTACGGTGGTGGCATGGAGAACATCATCTCCGTCAGGAAAAATCCTTGGGTAGCAACTCCAAAGGTGGTTGGTGGGCACATGACCTTGATTGATTCTGAAAGTAATGTTTTGTTGGATATCATAAAAGAAATAAAGGCAAATAATAATGAAAAATAGTAAATTGGAGAGAATTGGAAAATTTCATGAGAGGGAAAGTTTGGCTCTTTCCGGGAAGAACGGTCTCAAAACAGGACCGCCGGTCCCATCATCGGCCCACCGGTCCCAAGAATTGCGACAACGGTCCCATTGTCCCGAGAACGGTCCCAACGTTCCGACAACGGTCCCAAGGTTACGACAACGGTCCTAAGGGTACGACAACGGTCCCAACCAGGCTTAATCTGGAAACCCTATTCCCGAACTACAGATAAAACGGAATGGCCTTTCAAAAATGCAGTGGAAAATTTAACATTTTACTTATACTTGGGAATCGCAGTACTTTTTTACAGGAATTTTTCACAAAATATTACGTTTTTGTATTGTAGGCTTAGGCCAAAACGCCTTTTTCCGGCACTGATGTGAACAAGGTTTTTCAGCCTAACAATCCTATAATTATAAACCGAATAAACTTTGGAAAAATTCCAGTAAGAAAGTGCTGGAATTCTCAATTATCAGCAAAATGTTCGTTTTCGTTGCTGAAATGTGTTTCTTAGTTGAATCAAAAATTACCATTTCCGATGTTTCCAATAGGGTTTCCAGGTTAAGCCTGGTTGGGACCGTTGTCGGAACGTTGGCACCGTTGTCGAAACAATGAGACCGTTGTCGCAAGTCGTTGAGATCGACCAACGGTCCTGTTTTGGGACCGTTTTCCCCGAAAGAGCCGAAAGTTTTAGGATTTAAAAAAGGTTTTGAGGAAGAAGGAATGAAAACCGTGTCGAAGAAAAATAAGGAATACGGAATTCCGCTCTTCTCTGATCTGATAGAATGCGAATAAATTACGGAATGACTAGCTTTCCAAGATAGTCTAACATTGGTCCATAAGTCCCACTCTTTTTTTCTCCTTCGCCTTTTCACTAATTATCATCTCTTCCGGTTTAATATACCAAATTAAGACGCCTGCGCTCTTTTTGACCGTACCCTGATGGTCAATATTTTCCCCAGGAGGTAACATACTTTTTTTCTCGTGTCTTTTTTTGGTATATTATACCGGAAGAGATGATAGTTAGTGAAAAGGTAAAGGAGAAAAAGGGGTGGGAGCATTCTAGGAGCATTTAGTCATTCCATAATTTATCTGTGTTCTAAAGATCTGATATGAGCGGAAAACTGTATTCCTTATTTTTTCTTTTGCCAGATTTTTATACCATCTTCCTCAAAACCATATTTGATCCTAAAAATTTCCCTATTATACATCTTCTCAATTCTCTCTTGACGATTTAAAGAATGCCCAATTATTTTGAAAAAAAAAATCTAACCAATTTTTTTTCCGAATCAATCATGATCATGTTCCCACCAACCACTTTTGAATTTGCTGCTCAATTCTTCTACCGCACAAAACTACAAATTTTCAAACAAGATGTGAAGTATGATTTTTTTGAAAATTCAGAAAAAGTGAATAAACATCAAGAAGAAAAACGAAACAATAAGGAATTCCGCTCACCTCGGATCTTTACAACAAAAATGAGTTATGGAATGACTAGTTTTCCCAGATAGTCTAACCTATTTTCTTGGGAAGGGACCCGCCCCTTTCTCTCCTTCACCTTTTCACTAATTATTACCTCTTCCGGTAAAATCTAAATGTAAGACATCTGAACTCTTATTGACCGTATCCCGATGGTCAATATTTTTTCCAGAAGGTAACAACCTTTTTTTCGAGGAAAAAAGGTTACGGGAAAAAAAAAGAATTTGACAACACATTTTTCAGCTTATCATTATTTATTCAATTTAAAAAATAGTCAAAAACAATCATAAAAATATAATGTTTAAACAAGGTTAGAATAATTATAATATTCAATTTCAAAATATGCAAAAAATCACAAGGATATCAAAAATAGTTCAAACAACAGAAAGTTCCAAAATACGATCATTACCAATAATAGGGACAAATGAGCAACCAGGGAATAAGTGACAATTATTCATCAAATGGGTCTTCATCGCTGGGAATCCATTGGCCGAGTGAGTTCCTCTTCCGACTTCCAGCCATTCCTTGGTTCCTCCGGTCCTCCTCATCTGCTTCACAATGTCCTGAATATACGAAACCATTCCCATCGTCGTCATCCCATGCAAGTCGTTCGGATGTCCCACTTTTCCATTCGGATGTCCCACGTTAAATTGCCGAACCTTCCAGTTGATCGAAGCCTCCAATTGGAACTGCTGGCTTGGTGGAGCCATCATTTTTTGAGCCTGAAAATAAAAACGTTATTAGAAAGTTATACTTAACTATGTTCAACTTACATGAAGCTTCTGGATAGCTTCCTGGTGATGTCCCTTGAGCACCTTGAACTCGAGCGTATCGGCCTGACAGAACTTGTACAGTAACCCATCACTAGGATGGATATACTTCTGTACGGACAATCACCAGAACCTCCAGGAGCATAGTTACGACATAAGATCGTCTTGTAACTTTTGCTAGCTACCTGGTGGTCTGGGATTGAACCGTTTGACCGGAGCTCTTCGACCCCATGGGCAAACCTGCAGTTAGCTTAATGAGGGCAGACGATGCTCTTGCCCGAATTGTGCAGTTTGCAGAGCCGGGTCTTGAAATTGCTCGGCCCAGCGTTCTCCTTGTTCTCCTCACTGTAGGATCCACATGGTTGTCTGAAAAAGACATTCTTTTAGTTACAGTTTATATGTTTCTATGAATTTCATACAAATTGACTTCAAAATAAATTCAAAAAGTTTTAAATTTTTTCCAATGGAAGTTTTGACCTTCAAAGACGCATGGGCTCCGGAAGTTTAATATATTCAAGCTAAACTAAAAAGTGAATCATTTTTCAAGCTGTTTTTGCAAAAATAACTAAACCAGCTTATAAATTTGAAAATTCGCCAAATTTGGGCATTTAGGAATTAGAATTAAAATTTTTCAAGACCAAAACAACTTACGGTTGAGGAAAATATCCAAATCCTGATGGCTGCATTGGGAGGGCGAGCGGCATTGGTGCATAGTGCCTATAATGAAAAAATAGTTTGTAAAATGGACTGAAACTTTGTTTCCTAATGTTGTTGATATTAGTATAAACACGAAGCCAAAATACAGTACCACACAAAAATATTTCATTTTTATATATTTTTTTCAGTGGAAAATGGGCAAATTTAGAAGTCTAAAAAATCAGACCAGGATTGTTCAATTTATCTGTAAGTTTAAGTTTTCGAGCGAGAGTAGAGCTTCAATTGTGTAGTTGACAACTTTTTTGAAAAAATTCATCGAAAGGAGATATACGTTTTTAACAAAAAAAAAGTGCAAAAAAAACAGTAAAATGAAAGTTGGTGCCATTTTAAAGCAGTTAATCTTGTTTTGTTCAATTTAACAAGTTTATTACGAAATTGAGTCTCTAATTTCGTTCAGTATACTCTGAAATTTTCAGACAAATCGAAAAGTTTTGGTTTACTCTTTTTGAATTCTTAAGTTGACTATTTTTTACTGAAAACATCAAAAAATAATCTGTTTTTGGACATGGTACAGTAGATCTAAATTCTAGTTTATCATGATATCAAATCTATTGTTAAATTTCGTGATAAAATACTTACTGTGGCATGGAGAACATCATCTCAGTTGGGTAGAAGAATTGAGCAGTCGTTCCGAAGAAGGTTGGTGGGCACATCATTATTGAATCTGAAATATGTTTGTTAGATATCAACAAATGAATAAAGGCAATGTATGAATAAAGTGATGATTTAAAATAATATTGAAGTTTCAAGATAGAAAGTTGTTAGGATCAAAAACGGTATTGCAGAAAAAAAACCGTAACCATTTTAATAGAATGACCCCTAACTTTCCACTTTGAGCCGATTTATCTAGGTTCCTGGTAAAGATAGCAAAAAGTGGTCAATTAATAAATTATTTTTGATAATGTGATAAATAGTTTATCAGGTAACTACTTTTCGATATCTTTCACAGGGAATGAGATAAGCGGACTCAAAGTTGAAAGCTAAGAGGGGATAATTATAGTGTTTACGGTATATTTAAGGAACAAAATAAACTTAGAAAAAACTTGTAAGCACAAAAAAAGAAGCATAAGACAACTGATTTTCAAACAAGATGTAAGGTATGAATTTCTTGAAAATCTGTAAAAAGGGAAAAAAATCAAGAAGAAAAAAGAAGCAATGAAGAATTCCGCTCATCTCGGATCTTTACAACAAAAATAAATTATGGAATGACTAGTTTTCCCAGATCGTCTGAGAGTGATTCTTGAGAGGAGTTTCCTTTCTCTTCTTCACCTTTTCACTAATTATCATCTCTTCCGGTATACTGTATCAAGTTAAGACATCTGCGCTCTTATTGACCGTATCCCGACGGTCAATATTTTTCCCAGGAGGTAACATCCTCTTTTTCGAGGAAAATTTGGTTCCAATTTGACAATACATTGTTCAGCTTATCATAATTTATTAAGTTTTAGAATACTCAATTTGAAAATAGGCAGGAAAAAAAGCATAAAAAGATAACGATCAAAAGTAATTACAATAGTTATAATATTCAGTTTCAAAATAGGCAAAAAACAATAGAGTTATCAAAAATAGTTCAAACAACAGAAAGTTCCAAAATACCATCATTACCAATAATAGGGACAAATGAGAAACCGGGGAATAAATGGCAATTATTCATCAAGTGGGTCTTCATTGCTGGAAATTCATTTGCCGAGTGGTTCCCTCTTCCGACTTCCAGCCATGCCTTGGTCCCTCCGGTCCTCCTCATCTGCTGCACGATGTCCTGGACATAGCTGATCATCCCCATCGTCGTCATTCCATGAAGGTCGTAGTAGTCGTCTCCATTCGGATGCCTATCGTTGAAATTCCTGACTTTCCAATTGATAGACGCTTCTAGTTGAAACTGTTGACTCGGTGGGGCCATCATTCTTTAAGCCTGAAATAAATAATTAATGAGAAAATTATATTTAACTATTTTCAACTTACATGAAGCTTCTGGTTAGCTTCCTGGTACGGACAATCACTAGAACCCCCAGGAGCATAGTTAGTTACGGCATAGGATCGTCTTGTAACTTTTGCTAGCTACCTGGTGGTCTGGGATTGAACCGTTTGACCGAAGCTCTTCTACCCCATGGGCAAACCTGCAGTTAGCTCCATGAGGACAGACGATGCTCTTGCCCGAGTTGTGCAGTTTGCAGAGCCGGGTCTTGAAATTGCTCGGGACCTCGTTCTCCTTGTTCTCCTCACTGTAGGATGCACATGGTTGTCTGATAAATATATCCTGTTTAGTTACACTTTATCTATTTCTCTTCAAAGTTTTTAATCCGAATTTCATGCGAACCGTCTTCTGGAGCACCCGACAAAAATAATTTTGAAAGTTTTCGAAAGAATTTGTTTATTTTTTTGGCGAAACAAGTTTAGTAGGTTGATAGTTTGCAGAATCTATTACGATTTTCACAAAGGAAAAAAACTCACGGTTGAGGATAGTATTCATATCCTGATGGCTGTATTGGGACGGCGAGTGGCATTGGTGCATAAATAATCTAATTCTGCAAACTATCAACCTACTAAATTTGTTTCGCCAAAAAAAAAAACAAATCCTTTCGAAAACTTTCAAAATTATTTTTGTCGGGTGCTCCAGAAGACGGTTCGCATGAAATTCGGATTAAAAACTTTGAAGAGAAATAGATAAACTGTAACTAAACAGGATATATTTATCAGACAACCATGTGCATCCTACAGTGAGGAGAACAAGGAGAACGAGGTCCCGAGCAATTTCAAGACCCGGCTCTGCAAACTGCACAATTCGGGCAAGAGCATCGTCTGCCCTCATGGAGCTAACTGCAGGTTTGCCCATGGGGTCGAAGAGCTCCGGTCAAACGGTTCAATCCCAGACCACCAGGTAGCTAGCAAAAGTTACAAGACGATCCTATGCCGTAACTAACTATGCTCTTGGGGGTTCTGGTGATTGTCCGTACCGACTGGCTTGTCAGTATATCCATCCAAGTGATGGTTTGCTGTACAAGTTTTGTCGGGCCGACACGCCAGAGTTTAAGGTGTTGAAGAGACATCATCAGGAGGAGATTCAGAAGCTTCACGTAAGTTAAACAAAGTTAAGTAGTCGTTCCTAATCAATGTTTTATTTCAGGCTCAAAGAATGATGTCTCCACCGAGTCAACAGTTCCAGTTGGAGGCTGCTATCAATTGGAAAGTCAGGAATTTCAACAATGGGCATCCGAATGGAGACGACTACTACGACCTTCATGGAATGACGACGATGGGGATGGTCTCATATGTGCAGGACATTGTGGAGCAGATGAGAAGGACCGGAGGGACCAAGGCATGGCTGGAAGTCGGAAGAGGAACTCTCAGCAAATGGATTCCCAGCGATGAAGACCCACTTGATGAATAATTGTCATTTATTCCCCGGTTGTTCATTTGTCCCTATTATTGGTAATGATGGTATTTTGGAACTTTCTGTTGTTTGAACTATTTTTGATAACTCTATTGTTTTTTGCCTATTTTGAAATTGAATATTATAACTATTGTAATTACTTTTGATCTCTTTTTATGCTTTTTTTCCTGCCTATTTTCAAATTGAGTATTCTAAAACTTAATAAATTATGATAAGCTGAACAATGTATTGTCAAATTGGAACCAAATTTTCCTCGAAAAAGAGGATGTTACCTCCTGGGAAAAATATTGACCATCGGGATACGGTCAATAAGAGCGCAGATGTCTTAACTTGATACAGTATACCGGAAGAGATGATAATTAGTGAAAAGGTGAAGAAGAGAAAGGAAACTCCTCTCAAGAATCACTCTCAGACGATCTGGGAAAACTAGTCATTCCATAATTTATTTTTGTTGTAAAGATCCGAGATGAGCGGAATTCTTCATTGCTTCTCTTTTCTTCTTGATTTTTTTCCCTTTTTCCAGATTTTCAAGAAGTTCATACCTTACATCTTGTTTGAAAATCAATTGCCTTGTGCTTCTTTTTTTTTGTGCTTACAAGTTTTTTCTAAGTTTATTTTGATCCTTAAATATACCGTAAACACTATAATTATCCCCTCTTAGCTTTCAACTTTGAGTCCGCTTATCTAATTTCTTGTGAAAGATATCAAAAAGTCGTCAACTAATAAAATGCTTACCGTATTATCAGCTACATTTTATCAGTTGACAATTTTTTGATATCTTTTTCAGGAACCGAGATGAATTGGCTCAAAGTTGGAAGATTGGGTCATTCTTTCAAATCATCACTTTAAACATTGCCTTTATTCATTTGTTGCTATCTAACAAACATATTTCAGATTCAATAATGATGTGCCCACCAACCTTCTTCGGTTCGTTTGCTCCCGCCCAGTTCTTCTTCCCAACGGAGATGATGTTCTCCATGCCACAGTAAGTATTTAATCAAAAGAATTTCAGCGATAAATTTGATATTATGATAAACTGGATTTGGTAAACTTACAGTACCGTTTAAAAAAAATTGCATAATTTTTTACAATTCTCAGTGGAAGATAGCCAACTTTGAAGTCCCCAAAAGAATTCCAGAATATTTCGATTTGTCTAAAACTTTCAGAGTATACACAATGAGTCATAGCTTTAGTCATTTAATTGACAATTAAAACAAAACGAGATAAACGTATTCGAATTGATCCCAGTGCTTATGTTCTGAATTGTTTTTTGTTGAAAAATGACATATCCCGCCCAAATGACATTTTGCAAAAAAGTTGTCCATTAGACAACAAAAGCTCGGTCTCTGTTTGGTGAGCCCTGAGTATTTCAGACAAATTGTAACAATCCTGGGTTACTTTTTAGCTTCGAAAACTGGATGTTTTCCATTTCTAAAGTCAAATATCCTATTTTTGTCTGGCATTATTTCTTCGGAACTTAAAACATTCGAAAAATCAAGCAATACATTTTCTATCAAATTCCCAACATTTATATCATTATAGACTCTACCAACCAATGCCATTTGCCGTTCCAATGATGCCATCTGAATATGAACCGTAAGTGTTTTTTTTTCCGTTATATGATTAAATCTGATAAATGCCCTATTTCTGCAAATTTTCAGATTACAGAATTGGTTCTGTTATTTTTCCTTAATCAGCTTCAAAGTTAGTTTAAACAAGTCATGTTTTAGTTGAGCTTAAAAATATTAAACTTCCAAATATAAAAAAAAAATTAAACTTCCAATCTCTCATTTTGTTTAGTATCCCCTGAAATTTTCAAACGTGAAATTTTCAAAGGTGCTATAAAAAACAATTTGTCTAAAATTCGGATAAAAAAATTTGAAAAAAAAATAGATAAACTATAACTAAATAGAATGTCTTTTTCAGACAACCAAGTGGATCCTATATTGAGGAAAATAAGGAGAACGCGGCTCAGAACAATTACAAGACCAGGCTCTGTAAATTGTACAACTCGGGCAAGAGCACCTTCTGCCCCCATGGAGCTGCCTGCAGGTTTGCCCATGGGTTAGAGGAGCTCCGTTCAAACGGCACAGTCCCAGACCAAGAGGTAGCTAACAAAAGTTGCAAGACAATCTTATGTCGTAACTATGCTCCTGGGGGTTCTGGTGATTGTCCGTACAGACTGGCTTGTCAGTATATCCATCCTAGTGATGGGTTACTGTACAAGTTCTGTCAGGCCGATACGCCCGAGTTCAAGGTGCTCAAGGGACAGCACCAGGAGGAGATTCAGAAGCTTCACGTAAGTTAAACATGCTTAAGTGGGAGTTCCTTATAAATTCTTTTTTTTCAGGCTCAAAGGATAATGAATCAAAAGTTTCAACTGGAAGCTTCAATCAACTGGAAGGTCCGGCAGTTCAACAGTGGTCATCCAAATGGAAGCGACTACCACGACATACATGGAATGACGACGATGGGGATGATCAGCTATGTGTAGGACATCATTCAGCAGCTGAGGAGGACCGGAGGTACCAAGCGTGGAGTGAAGTCGGTAGAGGGAACCACTCGGCAAATGGATTTCCAGCAATGAAGACCCACTTGATGAATAATTGTCACTTATTCCCCGGTTGTTCATTTGTCCCTGTTATTGGTAATGATGGTATTTTGGAACTTTCTGTAGTTTGAACTATGTTTGATATCTTTGTGATTTTTTTTGCCTATTTTGAAATTGAATATTTTATCTATGTTAACCCTTTTTGATCATGATACATATTTCTTATGATTATTTTTCGTATTTTCAAATTGAATATTTTGAAATTGAATAAATAATGATGAATTAAAAATATATTGTTTAATTAAAGCAGATTTAATTTTGAAATAGAAAAAAGACGAATTTACCTCATGGGAAAGACTTTGGTCATCGGGGTCCGGGCAAAAAGAGCGGGTGTCTTAATTTGGCACATTATGCCGGAAGAGATGATAATTAGTGAAAAGGTGAAGGAGGAAAAAAAGGCGCAGAACTGAATAAGAAAAATTTTTAGACTATTTGGAAAAAAATGTCGTTCCGTAATGATTGTAGTTCTTTCGATTTTTTGTTATACTTATTGTTAGAACTTTAGGTTCGTAATTTTTTTTCATCCTTACAGTTATATTTTTTGTAAGTTAGATTTTGGTAGATTTCAAGATTTTCTATAGTAAAAAAAATAATAGAAAACAATTTTTCGGAACATTCGAAGGTCCAAAAGCCAGAAACTCTGAGAACTAGTAATTGTCTAATGAATTCTTTTGGGCTACTTTTCTAATAAATGCCTTCACTCATTTTTTATGTCTTACACAATTTTTGATATGCTGCTAATTTATTTTGGAAGTGAAATCTGTGGAAAAACACTCTGAATTAAAACAATAAGTAAAAAATACAACATATTTCAGGATCGACAAAAATGTATGCTCAATGTTTTATTCGAATAATTTCAAAAACCTTTTTAAAAAACGCATCACAAATGATAAACATAACCGGAGAAAGAGGCAGAGAATCCGGCATTATTAGAAGCATTGTTCGATGTGAAAGTGACCAACAAGTTATTTCCACTGGATACAACACTGAATGGGAAGTGGTTTCCGCTGAATGTTCCTAGCAAGTCGGCATTTGTGGAATCTCCACCATACACAGAAACGACGTCGTAATTCTCTTCAGTGCGAAAATCCGTAAACCATTAAATAATATTATAAGATCCAAAAGTTGCTAATTGATACGTGCAGTTCGTATTACTATCGTAGGAATAGGGGTAATTATGGGAGGATATTACTTCCTGAGCTATGAGAATTCTAGCGTTACAGGTGGATGGGTTTGATGGGATTGGAGTTACAGTAACCAATGGTTGATTAGGTGGACAATTGGTATCGGCTGGTCGTTTACACATGTATTCAAAGGAATCTGAGCAGCTTACAGTATGCCATGAGCCTGGAGCTACTTTGTTAGACGTTCCGAAGCCCATAGCTACACAGTTATTATCGATAGAAACAGTGGTGGCGAAATTGTCAAAGGACCAGAAAGAGCCGTCGAACCAGGAAAAAGTGTATTTTGCGGTTCGAGTCGCGCCGATCAGAAGATCTCCAGAGTCGGCGGATTGGAAGAAAAGGGAGCTCAAGTATCGATTTTCGTTTGCTGAATGAATTGTGACCAGAGTGCCGTAATTTTTTTCACAATTTTCTTGAGCTGCCTGGAAGTTGGCGGCTGGCCAATGAGTATAACAAAAGCCGTGACGCAGTCGTCTGGAATTAGAGATTTTCTGTCATTTTTGACTGTTGAATTTTCTAGGCCACCACCATCAAAAAATCAATACCTTCATAACTAGGCGGCAGCTCACAAACAAACGATTTCTTATCACTGTCACAACTTGAACTGTAGCATTTTCCCATGTTGGCCTGCAGTGAGTAGTACACACATTTTCCAGTTTAGGCTTGTGGGTTCCCTGGAATTTGAAATGATTTTGGAAGCTCTTATTTTTTTCAAAAAATCTTTGTATTGAGATAAAGATGGCTCTATCCCAACATGAAGGTCCTTTCAGGACAATGAACCAAAGAACTACCACTCATGAAGCTGTTATACATCTCGGCCGATCCGCTGGCATTGTCCCAAAGACACTTAGTTAGGTCATTGGCAAAACAGTAGAGACCCATCCAGATGGAATCGTTAGAGTTGTTTCCAACGAATGTTTGGACACCACGGTTGTCCTGAGAAATGAAGCATTTTTTGGACAATAAATCGAGGAAGGTTTAGAGTGTTTAGAATTCGGATGCGAAATCTTAAAAATTGGGTCCTGGAGCCCAGACTATGGAGCCCGGGCCCTGGAGCTTGGATTCTGAAAAACGGGTTCTGGAGCCCGGGTTCTGGAGCTCGACTCCTGGAGCCCGGGTTCTGGAGCCCGGTTCTGGAGCTCGGGTTCTGGAACCCGGGTCATTTAGATTTTTGAATTCAAATAATGTGATTTCTATGAATTTTTAACCCAAATTTAAAACTCACAATACCATTTTTTAACCCAAATTTAAAACTCATTTTTAACCCAAATTTAAAACTCACAATACCATTTGAGGATCACCAGCGTTGCTCCATAATTCATACAAGTCCTCTCCGCAGCTTATGAGTTCTAGGAGACCCAAAATATCTCCAGCACTTGTTATTGACCATTGTGAAGACGTTTGTGCAAACCGGGGTACCAGCAGAGGCACATTTCAAGAAAATCACAGCGAAAAGTAGAAAAATTGGACGGAGCATCATTTTTCTTTCCTCGAGAAGACTGATTGGAAAAAAAATGATGCCAGTTTTTTTGAAATTTTTCTTTATCAATACAATTTTTTTTTCAAAATTTTTGGAGTTTTCACAACTAATCCGGTTTTTTTTTTGATGATAAGAATTAAGGGATTATTTTGTTCACTACATTTTTGAAGATTTTCGCTGTTGAAAAAATTTATTCAGGTTTCGAATAAATGGATTTTCATAAAATTCAAAGAAGAGAGTTTAGTGTGGAGTGCAGTCTGAAAAATTGCAGGTCAAACTGGTGATGCCGTTTCTGAAAATAAGGAAATTTGAGATTTTGAGATTTGGAGCTTCTGGAATTCTGAAGTTCTGTAATTCTGAAGTTTTGAACTTCTGAATTTCTGAATTTCAGATTTTGACAGTTTAAAATTCTGAAAAAAATCTGAAATTCTGAACAACACAAATTTCGTCCAAGAGATTTTCAAACTTTGAGATTCCGAAACCATGAAATTCTGAATTCTGGAATCATGTTTTGAAATTCTAAGGTTTTCAGAATTTCCGACTTTCAGAATTTCAGAATTTTTCGAGTTTCTATACTTCTTTTCGAGATTTGAGAAATTTGAAATTTTCAGATTTTGAGATCTTTTCAGAATTTTAGAATCTCAGAATCTCAGAATTTCAGAATTTCAGAATTTCAGAATTTCAGAATTTCAGAATTTCAGAATTTCAGAATTTCAGAATTTCAGAATTTCAGAATTTCAGAATTTCAGAATTTCAGAATTTCAGAATTTCAGAATTTCAGAATTTCAGAATTTCAGAATTTCAGAATTTCAGAATTTCAGAATTTCAGAATCTCAGAATCTTAGAATTTCAGAATCTCAGAATCTCAGAATCTCTTTTAATTACCCTCTCACTCTAATTATCATTTTAACAAGGTGGCCTAACTTTTGCAATTTGGATTTTCTAGGCCACCACTTTTTTGACCTATGAACGGGCTAACATGAACCTGGTGTCTTTCCTAGATAATTTTATCGTGGTGGCATAAATTTTGCAAATTGGGTTTTCTAGGCCACCGCTTTTTTCTTGCCCTAGAAATGGGCTTTTACTGGTTTCGAAATGGTTTTAAATTACCCTGGCGTGTTTTCTGGGTCATTTTAAGGTGGTGGCCTAGAAAACTCAATTTGCAGAAGTTAGGCCACCAGGTTAAAAAGCTAGGCCACTACGTTAAAATCACCTAGCAAATATACCATGTGAATATCAGGCTAATTCGTGGCCATTAACCATGATGGCCTAGAAAACTCAATTTGCAAAAGTTAGGCCACCAGGTTAAAAAGTTAGGCCACCACGTTAAAATCACCTCTAAACACACCAAGTGGATATCAGGTCATTTCTAGGCAATTTACCATGGTGGCCTAGAAAACTCAACTTGCGATAGTTCGGCCACCACACAACCACTCAGAAAACCTAACAATGCAATTTATAGGTCATTTCCCAAGTAAACTCAACTTGCAAAAGTTGCGTTTTACTACTAATTACCCCCCCCCCCCCTAATTACTTACCAATTGGTCGTTGGGTCGTCGTAGTGGTAGTAGTTGTAGTCGTCGTGGTAGTAGTCGTGGTTGGCTTCTCTGTTGGCTTCTCTGTTGGCTTCTCAGTGGTAATTATCTTTTCAGTCGTAGTTGTCTTTTTAATTGGCTCTTCCTTTTCTGGAGCTACAGTAAGGTTACCGCCCATAATTCGTCCCGCACGAGCGAGAGGTTGCTCCGGACGAGTTTGGGGGGCTTCTGAAATAATTAGTAGTTAATTAGCCTTAATTACCCCTAACCTGGAGCCACACAAGCGCCGTGGAGCTGGTGGACAAGGATAGAGAGGAGGAGAATTTTGAAAACCATCTGGAATTTTTTTTGGCTGAAAACTGATTTTTTGAGGTAAAAACGAAAAGAGAATGAATGAAAAATCAAATCACCACTTCTTTTTAAACAGAAAATTAGCATAATTAATGAATAATTCATTGGATATGATAATGAATTTTTTGTTGGAAATTTTAATTTTTTTTTTTGGAATTTTTTTGCAAAATTTAGGATCAAAAATCGTATTCGAGAGGTTTATCTATAATTTCAGATAAAAAGAAAAATCGATAATTTTGATCCAGGATTGTTCAGATTGCAGTTGTTGTGGGTTGGGTTACTGTAGCGTTGGACATTTGAAAAACCGGATCACGACAAGCTTGATACTCGCAGATGAGTTTTGTGATTCCAGTGCTGAAAAATTTGAAATTGACTTAAATTTTTTGATTTTCTAGGTTATGACCTAATTTTTGGAATTTCTAGGACATGCGCTTTTTCTAGGTTATGACCTAATTTTATGGATTTTCAGGTCATTATCTAATTTTCGGATTTTCTAGGTCATGACGTAACTTTTGGATTTTCTAGGTCATGATTTAAATTTTGGATTGTCTAGGACATGACCTAATTTTTCGGATTTCCTAGGCCATGACCTAATTTTCCTGTATTTTTAGGTCATGACCTAATTTTGGATTTTTTAGGTCATGACCTAATTTTTTGGGTTTTCTAGGTCATCACTTAATTTTTGGGTTTTCTAGGCCATGACCTAATTTTTCGGATTTCCTAGGCCATGACCTAATTTTCCTGTATTTTTTAAGTCATGACCTAATTTTGGATTTTTTAGGTCATGACCTAATTTTCCTGTATTTTTTAGGTCATGACCTAATTTTGGATTTTTTAGGTCATGACCTAATTTTTTGGGTTTTCTAGGTCATGAACTAATTTTTCGGATTTCCTAGGCCATGACCTAATTTTCCTGTATTTTTTAAGTCATGACCTAATTTTGGATTTTTTAGGTCATGACCTAATTTCGGATTTTCTAGGTTATGATCTAATTTTTGAATTTTCTAGGACCTGATTTTTTGGATTTCTGCACTCACTATGCTCCAAATTTGTATGCCCCATTCTCACAAGTCAGCTCTGTAGACACATTATGATGATGTTCGGTCCATTGGGTTATGAAATGGGTCCCAGTTGGATTGATAGCCTAGAAATTCGGAAATTCAGAAATACGAAAAAAATACCCACAAAAATATTAATCAGACCATCCAAGTTATCCAATCTCTCACAAGTGACTCTTGTTCGTTGGCAACCATCTACAGTACCCACTTTTCTAAAATTTCAGTTTTTCATTGCTCATTTCTAAAAATCTCACTCTGAAAAATATCTGGAATTTGCATCAGGCATATCCGGTTTGATTTCATCGATATCACAGCTGTTGCAGTTGAGGAAATGGAAAATTTCTGAAAAAAATTGCCTCGATTTTTCGGAATTTTTTGAAAATCTCACGGTTGTTTTCTGGAGTCTCTAGAATCTCATTGGCATTTACATTTTTAGATAAAATGAGCAATGAGAATAAGAGAAAACGGTACGTCATTTTTAAGGTTTGGAAATTAGAAAAACAGAGGAAAAGTCAAAAAATCAGGGTTGGGAGATTATGAATAATTCAAAAACCGAAAAAATAGAGAATTGGAAATTTTACTGTGCTTTATATGGTAATGAGAATAAATTTCGAATTTTGAAATTCAAGGGATGCATAAAATAATATTCAAGGGATGCATAAAAAAATATAGAATCTTAGAATCTTAGAATCTTAGAATCTTAGAATCTTAGAATTTTAGAATCTTGGAATCTCAGGATCTCAGAATCACGAAATTTCAGAATTTCTGGAATTGTGAAATTTTTAATTTCCGAATTCCATATATCCAGAACTTCAGAATTTCAGAATTCCAGGTTCGGACATTCTTGAGACTTTGGTTTAAAAAACTGTTTAAAGCGATTTTTAAAGTATTCTAATTTTGCTTCTACACAAAGAAACATCGTCGTTGAGATTCTTTCTACAGTAATCCTCCGCTTTTCTGAACTATTCTTCCCACCTACAGTAATCCTCGATAAAACCGAGCACTGTTTTTGTTTTGTGTATTCTGTAATTTTCAGAGAAATTGAAAAATTCTAGACTATTTTAAGAAACCCACGTTTGGCTATTTTCACAAAAAATTAAGAAGCTTGTTGCTGGTACTGTACATATGCGTACTGTACATCCTTCCTCTTGGCCCTGGTCGTTCTGTGCTCAACTTCGCAACTTTGTGACAAATCGTGTCTTCTGACAAACTCGGAATACGATTCTAGTCGGAAAACATCATCCCGACATCCCCGATTCCATTTTCGGGGGAACCATAGTGAATCTCCGTAAACGTAGCATATGACCCGTCTTCTTCCGATTCACCGATTCGCTTTACGTTTTGGTACTATAGCTTTGCGGACCACTTCTTTCTATATGAGGCTTTAGGTGGCTTTTACTTTTTTTGAAGCTTTCCAATTTTTCTCTTTTCTGATACGGTTTTTTTTTTTCAAAAATTCCTATTTATTTAAGTACCTAAATTTCCAGATGACGTATCTACTTCTTTCTTTGATTGTCGGTGTTCTTGTGTTGGAGAATGTTCTGGCTTCGGATGTTGGGGTTACGGTAGCTCGGACGGATATGGCTGATGAATTGAAGACTGACGGACTTGCTGACTTGGAATTTTCTGAAGATCTCAAGACGATGAATAACTCAATATCTAGAGCTAAGCTGATCTCTTCTTCGTTGGATGATGATTTGGATGCAAAGGTTAGTTTCTAAATTGGTTTTTGAAAAAAAATATTTTTAAATTAAAAATAGACAAAATTGCCTACAATTCAGTCAAAAAATCACGTTTCTAGCGCTTCTAGGAACCGAGATAGAGATCCAAATTCAGGAGGCTCGAGACGCAGACGACGAGACACGCTGCGTCTCTAACCTCGGGAACTTCAAATGACCGTATCTCGAGTTCTAGATGAGCTAGGAAGTTGGTTTTTGGACAGAATTGTAGGGTATGAAATGGGTTTTCATTTAGATTAGTAAAAACAAAACACTAGAACAAAAAATAGTGAATTTCTGATGTTCCAGGTGCACAATGCTCGCAAGGACACGCAAATGGAAGCTGGTGATGTCAAGATAGTGGACGAAGTGAAGTCGAAAGCTGGAAGATGTCGCCGTTATGAATGTGTGAGTCATTATAGTTTAGATTCAGAAGACTTTTGGAGATTTTCAGTTGATTTTCGGTCATTTTCAAGAATCGAGAGGTCGACTCCTTTTTCCTTGTTTACTGATTTTTGAACGACACCTGTTTTTGCCCGTTTTCTAGTAGAAAACATGGAAAAACAGGTATCTTTCAGAAATCGGGAAATAGCTGAAAAACTAGGAATTTTCAAAAAGTTTTGTGAATGCAAAGTTTTCAATCTAGGTCTGTTTTACACCATCCAGAGTTCTCAAAGTGGTCAGAAACTTGAACGCCAAGCTCCAGACTCCTGAAAATGCCAAAAATCAACTGAAATGAGCAAATTTCTGATATTCCAGGTGCCAAACGCTCTCAAGGACACAGAAACGGAATTTCTGGTTTTTACTGTTTTTGGGGATGATTGTTCGGAAGCTAATAACATTCCTGTCAACAACGTAAGTTTTAGATTACAGTTCAGATTTTGAAGGTTTCTGGAGCAATTTTTGAAGGGCATGAATGGTGTTTAAAACATTCGATTTTTACGCTTTCAGAAAAAAAACGAGTCTACTGTAATCGCTCTGTCGAAGCCCGTGCACTTTGAGCTCAATTATCTTAGTTCCTTTGAAAGATAGCAAAAATTTGTCAATTGATAAATTATTTATCATGATATCACAAACATTTTATCAGTTGCTAAATTTCTAATATCTCTCATAGGAACCGAGATAAATGACCTTAAAGTGCATTTTCTCAATTAATTTTTTCAGAGCTTTGTGTTCCTCTATGATAATTACTGGACAAGAAATAAGCACACTGAAAGAGCGGCTGGATGCGATTAAACGTACTCTCAGCTTTGAGCTCTATTATCTTGGTTCCTATGAGAGATAACAAAAACTTATCAACTGATAAATTGTTTATCAAATTTTAAGAAACATTTTATTAGTTGACTACTTCTTGATATCGTTCCTAGGAACCGAGATAAATGGGTTCAAAGTATAGAGGCGGATCAATTTTTAATATAATTTTCAGAAATGGTCAAATTTCACTGATGTACGGTATCACAATTTTCGAACTTTTAAGTGCTTATTTTCATTATAATCTTTTGTACACAACTTGATTTTTGGGTTTTTTGGTGTATGTTAATCTTGGGTACTCAATAAACGGGTCTCCACGGGTAAAAAAACTTGAATATGAAAATTGCAGGATTTCAGAGTTTCAGGTACTCTGATCTTCAGAATTTCAGAATTTCAGAATTCCAGAATTTCAGAATTTCAGAATTTCAGAAGTTCTCGGATTTCTGAATTTTTGAAATTCGCAATTTCTGAACTTTTTCGAATTTCTGAAATTCGCAATTTTTGAATGTTTCAGAATTTCGGGATTACAGGATTTCAGAATTTCAGAATTTTTTTTGCAAACTTTAGGCTGAAAGTCCCTCACTTTTGAAAAATTTCCTATACAATTACATGTCTACTTCTCTCTGGTCTTCTCTTCCCTGTCTAATTGCATTCTAATGACCTCCCAGGTGCATTAATATAAAAAGAGGACCATCTTTCATGAATCCTTTTTCGCGCCATTAAACATTCTAGATTACATGTAAAACGTTTGAGGGAAAATGTCGCATCTATTATAACATGGAACAGATGTTCTAATGGGGTTTGGTAATATGTTTGTAATTTTGCAATATTTACGGAACTATTCACGGAAAATTCTTGAAAACGACAGGAGTGAGTCCAGGATTTCGATGACCTAACACGAAAAAGATCTGAAAAAGTAACAAATTTCAGACCAGAATTGTTGTCAGTTTCTATACAGGATGCGGCAAAAGTATGGTAACATATTCAAAGTGATGTAACTTTCGCAAAAAGACCCGTATCAAAATGAAAAGTTGGTTGTAGTTCACTGAATGCTTCCGAAGCTAGAAATTCCAGCCAAAAGATTATAATGAAAATAAGCACTTAAAATTTCGAAAATTTTGATACCGTACATCAGTGAAATTTGACCATTTCTGAAAATTATATTAAAAATTAATCCGCCTCTATACTTTGAACCCATTTATCTCGGTTCCTAGGAACGATATCAAGAAGTAGTCAACTAATAAAATGTTTCTTAAAATTTGATAAACAATTTATCAGTTAATAAGTTTTTTTTTATCTCTCATAGGAACCAAGATAATAGAGCTCAAAGCTGAGAGTACTGTTGTCATTTTCCCCCTTATCCTGGGACAACGACAACCTGAAAGCGATATAACCCAGAATTCCCCGATTTTCCCCATAAAATCACTCTGGATTATCCGCTTTAATCGGGTCATATCCTTTCCCCTTTTTCCCTTTCCGTTTCCCAATTCTAATTACTTTGTTCTGTTCACTAACACTTATTATTATTTGAATAATCGCCGACCGCGTCGCACTGCTTGGCATTGGCGCCGACAGGAGCGGCCCGAAGGGCGCTCGTGTCAGATTCGTTCGTTGCTCGAGAGACTGTGTATCTCTCCCCTTTCCTTTGACCGTTTACGGTCTCTTTCTTCTTCTAATTATTGTTTCAGGTTATTACTTACGTTTGGCATTGAGTTGGTTATTAGCTACAGTTTTGAGGCCGCAAGGTTTCCCCCCGGTAGCTCCCAGGGGGGTTTTAGCCCTACACCTTTGCCTATTTTTCTGTATTGCTTCCTCACCCAATTCATATGTCTTTGGCGTTTATTCAGATCCGTTTTCCTTCAATAATTTTAATTTGGATTTGAATAGATTGTGTACTGTCATCCACTTGCACCGCTTAGCTTACACCTTTGGGGGGTTTAATTGGGGTCTTCTCAGGTAACAAGTCTCTCTGGTTAGGACATCGGACCGGTCTCGACTGACCTCGATGCGGAGAACGTCTACTTCGTCTCGGTTTGTGATTTTTTTTACTTAAAATTTGAACTGCAAGTTTTTTTCAGCGGGGCGCGGTTGCTAGCGGCCAATTTAATTTTGAAAATTATAAAATTCTGAATTCCAATAACTTTAAAATTCTAATTATTTTAAATTCCAGCCAGAATGCGACGCTAACGGACATCCAAGTGAGTCCTTCTCAATCGAAATTTCTTTTAAAAAACCCGAAAATTACAGAAACCATGGTGAGCCACCCACTGATAGACTTCGATGACTACTTCTTGGAATATGTTCTGCCACTGGTTGTAGTCGTAAGTTTCACAGTCACAAAATTACTAAATAAAAGAGTTCCAATGTTTTCAGCCCTACAAAGATCTGTGTGAAGAAGGTAGAATGCCAGAAGTCGTCGGAGTTGAATTGAAAGCTCGGGACGCTGGACGAACCGAAACCATCCTGCAACTTCGTGAAGTCCTCACCGTGCACCTCACGGAATACCTGCCGGTCACGGTTCCGCTCATCAAAAAGGCGCGATTTGATCTGGTTTTTTTAATGGTTGATCGCTCCGCTCCTCACTTTCCAAAAAAACCACAGACTAACAGGTGGGGGGGGGGGGGCGGGGCAACAAATGTTTGTAGCGTTTTATACATAAGAAATATCACTAACCTTTTATCAGTTAATCACTTTTTAATATCTCTCACAAGTGACGAAAAAAACTGGCTCACAATTGAAAGTGGAAAGGTCCTCCCTTTCTTACTGTACCTGCAATTGAATTCAGCCACCTATTCATCTACCGGCCGGTATTGATTAACGAGGAATTTGAAACCCTAAAAAATTGGATGATAATTGTGGTACTTTGGCATACAATAACATTACTTTTCAGGTCCCCCCAAAAATTAGCATTTCTTCCCAAAATGTTCAGAATTTGATGATAATTGAAAACTCACATAGCAGTAAGCAAGTCTTCTAGCTTCTGGCAAATCATCCAATGTAATATTCAATAACCTCGTTCCTTCTTTTCTTGTGTTTTAGATCTTTGTGGACATGGTACATCTGAAAAGTAAATGAATTCAAATTTCAGAAGTTGACTTTTTCTATTGTTCGAGGAGCAGCTAACGTAAATCGTTCTGCGATCGCGTAGCTCAGTAACGTAGACTAACCTTTGCATCCAAATCATCATTCAACAAAGATAAAATCAGTCTGACTTTCAAACTCTCTAGATACTCGGTATTATCAGAAACTTCCAAGTCAACAAGTCCGCTAGTCTTCAAGTCATCAGTCATATCCATCCAAACTGCCGTAACCTCACTATCCGACACCATCCCATTTTCCAACGTAAAAACTCCAACAATCGACAGAAGAAGTAGATCTTTCATCTGAAAATTTATGTTCTTGAAAAAACTGAAATCTTTGAAAAAGTGAAAATGTCAGAAAGAAGGAAAACGGAAAAGCTATAGTGAGAGTTGCGGACTCGGAATCGGAAGAAGACGTGCCCTATTCAATGCTTACGGCGATTCGCTATGGTTCCCCCGAAAATGAAATGAACCGGGATGATGCTTTCCGTCTGGAATTGTATTCGGAGTGTGTGATCTGGGAAGAAGACACAAAGATTCGAAATTGAGCACGAAATTGATCAGGACCGATGTGATGGATCCCTATGTACAGTAACTACTTATTGTCCGATACTTTGTGTACGAAAATTTGATAAGCAACATTTTTTCCTCGGATTTCTGAATTTCTTGAAATTTCTGAAATTTCGATTGATCTAGAAAAACAAAACTCTGACAAAAGATTAAGTTTCGAAAAAAACTTCAAAAACTCAAGAAATTCAGAAGTTCAATCAATTCTGAATTCCAAAACCTTCTCTGACAATACCAAGCTTTATTAGTTTCTCTATGACATTCCAAAACGATATTTTTACCCGTAAAGACCCGTTTATCAAGTAATCAAGATTAACGTACACCAAAAAGATTAGTTGATTCCCAAGAATAAGATACACCAAAACCCAACAATCAAGTTAAACACAAAAAATTATAATGATTCAAATTGATCAAATTATGAAAAAAAACTGAAGAAAGATGGGGAACGGGGAGGGGAGCGTATGTGATTCTTTAGCGCAACAGTTTAAAATTGAGGGCCATGGACATCTTTCGGAGGTGTTCGTCCCCACCCCAAACTGTGTAGGCCCGACAGCTCAGGAACGGGAGATAGGTGATATCCTCCCATTTATAGGAGGCAGCTCCTGTCTGTCGCTTGGTCGGATCCACGAGTGTCACCTTCTGAAAACCGAACTTTTTAATATTAAAATAGACAAAATTGCCTACAATTCAGTCAAAAAATCACGTTTCTAGCGCTTCTAGGAACCGAGATAGAGCCGCTCCGATTTCAGGAGGCTCGAGACTCAGACGACGAGACACGCTGCGTCTCTAACCTCGGGAACTTCAAATGACCGTATCTCGAGTTCTAGATGAGCTAGAAATTCCAGCCAAATGTCTGAAATTCCAGCCAAATTTTCAAAGTCGTTATTTTGACCCCTAACTTTGGCAAAATGTTTCCTATAGTTTTCTCCAGTTTTCCCCAAAGTTTCAGCCAGATTGGAACACTCTCCGAGTTTTCGCGGAGTTTTTTTCCTTTTTTGCCGACTCCCTGAATAACCCCATCAAATAAATGCCTAATCTGAAAATCCATTTCAAATCCTACAATTCCGTCAAAAAACCAACTTTCTAGCTCATCAAGAACTCGAGATACGGTCATTTGAAGTTTCAGAGGTGAGAGACGCAGCGTGTCTCGTCGTCTGCGTCTCTAGCCTCCTAAACTTGGAATGACTTTATCTCGGCCCCTAGAAGCGCCAGAAGTTTGATTTTTAGACAGAATTGTAGGAAATTTTGACTATTTTACTCCCTGAATAACCCCATAATAGAATTTAATTGAAGAATGTACAGTACCGGTCACAGTACCGGTAGACTATCGTTAAATCTAAGAAGGGCCCCCACACTGTCAAGTTTGAGCTAAATTATCTAAATTGCTATACAAGATTTCAAAAATGGGTCGACTGACAAAACGCTTCTGATATTATGATAAACATTTTATCAGTTGACAACATTTTGATATCTCCAACAGGAACCGAGATAAATTGGCTCAAAGTTAAAAGTTCGCGGACTCACCATGTTGTTTTCGTGGAATACAATGAAGACGTCCAGTTTGCTGTATTCCTTTTTGATGAGCGGAACCATGACCGGCAGGTATTCCGTGAGGTGCACGGTGAGGACTTCACGAAGTTGCAGGATGGTTTCGGATCGTCTAGCGTCCCGAGCTTTCAATTCAACTCCGACGACTTCAGGCATTCTACCTTCTTCACACAGATCTTTGTAAGGCTGAAAACATTGGAACTCTTTTGTTTAGTAATTTTGTGACTGTGAAACTTACGACTACAACCAGTGGCAGAACATATTCCAAGAAGTAGTCATCGAAGTCTATCAGTGGGTGGCTCACCATGGTTTCTGTAATTTTCGGGTTTTTTAAAAGAAATTTCGATTGAGAAGGACTCACTTGGATGTCCGTTAGCGTCGCATTCTGGCTGGAATTTAAAACAATTAGAATTTTAAAGTTATTGGAATTCAGAATTTTAGAATTTTCAAAATTAAATTGGCCGCTAGAAACCGCGCCCCGCTGAACAAAACTTGCAGTTCAAATTTTAAGTAAAAAAAATCACAAACCGAGACGAAGTAGACATTCTCCGCATCCTTCATGTGCTACAAAAATTTAATTTAGTCAAATTTTTTGTTTTCCAAAACTTACAGATCCATCCAATCCTTCTCCAAGAGGCTTTTTCGGTTCGCAAGTATGAGAGTCGGTGCCTTCCGAAGTTGTGGAAGACTCAGAAGTCATGTCAGTAATTGTGGAGGTTATAGTGGGAGCTTCAGAAGTAGAGGAGGTTGAGGTGGAGGCTTCGGCAGTCGAGGAGGTGGAGGTAGAAGCTTCGGACGTCGAGGAGGTGGAGGTAGAAACTTCGGACGTCGTGGAGGATAAGCTGGAAGCTTCGGTAGAGGCTTCAGAAGTCATTGATGTGGAGGTAGAAGCTTCGGAAGTCGTGGAGGTTGAGGTGGAAGTTTCAGACGTCGAAGTGGTTGAAGAAGGAGCTTTGGTAGTCGTGGAGACGGTAGAGGTGGAAGCTTTAGTAGTCGTGGTGGTGGAATAAGACTCAGAAGTGGAGGTTGGAACATCTGAGATCGAGGTGGAAGTCTCTGAAGCTTCCGAAGAGGACGACGAACCATCGGTAGTTGAACTGGAAGCATCTGGAGTAGTTGATGTGGGAGAAGAAGCACCGGATGTAGAGCTCGACGATCCTTCTGTGGTAGCCAGTGTTGAGGAAGACGTCGCGGAAGTCAAAGATCCTGTTGATTGTCCAGCCGACGAAGTCATGGATTCCGTAGATTGGGTTCCAGTGGTAATCTCGGATTTAGTGAAGCTGAAAGTGGCTTCTGAAGTGGTTTCACTCGAGCTAGAAGTCGATTCCGAAGACGTTGTGGAATCAGTTGTTGAGGTTCCAGACAACTTTCCAGAAGTCGTTACAATCGTTGAGGTTCCCGTGGTTGTTCCAAATGACGTCGAAGGAGTTCCAGAAGTTGTTCCAGAGCTTGTTCCAGTGGTCGAGGTTCCAGTTGTTACGGTATCCGAAGTCGCTTCAGTTGTCGAGGTTCCAGCTGTCGTTCCCGTCGTTGAGGTTCCAGACGATGTTCTAGAAGTCATTTCCGTGGTTGTTCCAGACGTTGTTCCAGTGGTTGAGGTTCCAGACGATGTTCCAGACGACGAAGGTTCAGTCGACGATTCAGAAGTCATCGATGTTGTTCCAGTTGAGCCAGTAGTTGTGGATGTGGTTTCTGGAAAGAGAAATCGTACACAGCAATACTTCACCTTAAATTACGTTTATTTATCTCGCTTAACCTTACTTTTTCTTCCTTTATCTGACCCATCATAATTCAACTTCATTCAGAATTACTTAACCTAACGTGAACATTCCCTAACTTTACCGTATTTTACCCTAAACCTCATTTTACTTTTCTAATACATACTTTTTTTCATTTTTTTCTGATACTTTCTTAAAGGTGGGGGACATGAAAAAAATAATGTTCTCGAAATTCCGTTCAAAGATGCCCCTCGAGGAGTTGAACTTGTGAGGGCGATGATTGAGAGTGCGGTGCCGCTACCGACGGAGCCACGCGGGCAGAAAGAAAGCGCACGCCTGATTGCATACATAAAGGCGAGGACGACAGCTGTGACATTAAGCGTTGTACACCGTGACGGTAGAATGCATACTCTAGCTACAAAAAAACTACGGAAAATCTCCTGTCCCCCCACCTTTAATACACCTCGCTTTACTTCAATTTACCTTAATATACCTTACTTTACCTTACTTAACTTAACTTAACATTACCTAATGTTATCTTAATTTAACATTACCTAGTCTTAACCTAACTTAACATTACCTTAACCTAACGTTACCTAATCTTAACTTAACCCTACCTTAACTTATCATTACCTAGTCTTAACTTAACTTCACTTAACATTAGCTGATCTTAACTTAACTTAACTTAACGTTACTTAATCTTTAATTAACTTAAGGGAGGCGAGACAGCAAAAATTTTGGGGGACAGTTTGGGGGATGAAATCGCGGCGCGCTTATGTAGGCCATCGGTCGGCAGGCGCCTTCGCGCCCCCGTAGCTCAGCCGGGTGAGCTGCCGGCCATGAGTTCGACTCCTCATGGGGGTTCTTTATCAGGCCTGTGCGGCAACAAATTGCCGATTACCGAAATTGCCGAATTTTTGCTGCCGATTTGCCGTTGCCGAAATCGGCAACGAAGAAAAAGTTGCCGAATTGCCGTTGCCGATTTCGGCAAAAAAATTTCGGCGATTTCGGCAACTGAAATTTTTTTGAATTCAGAGATTTTCACAACTTTTTTTAGTCAAAAAAAATTATCCAAATATCACATCAAAAAAATTATCCAATCATGAGTTGCCTAACAAGTTGAGCGCACTATTTTCAAAACTCACAATCGGAACAAATATTTTCAACCATTGGAATACCCTCTATTGCTAAAGAGAAATAGTTTGCATAAAAAATGTGGCCTTGAGTTGCCAATTTTTGTAATTACTTCTTTAAGGAACTTAGGAAACACATTTTCTGTAGTTCTGAGCCTGATAGAAGCATTTTCAGGTGAGTTACGTATTGATTTTACTAAAAAAAGACGCAAAACTTTTGTTGCCGAAAATTGCCGAAAGTTCCCGAAATTGCCGAAATTTTTTTTCGGTAATTGCCGAGTTGCCGAACGTTGCCGAAAAGTATTCGGCAAATTGTCGAGTTGCCAAATTGCCGAAAAAAAAATTGTTGCCGCACAGGCCTGTTCTTTGTGCAAAATATCAGAAAAGTTTTTTTTTTGATGTCTGGCCCCCTTTAACATTAACATTAACTTAACTTGACTTAACCTAACATTACCTAATCTCTTTAATTGACTTAACATTACCTTAACTTATAATTACCTAATTTAAACCTACTTTAGATCCTAAAATTTTTTTCTGAAATCCTAAAAAATTATAGCCCTGGAGTCCACTAAACCAAGATACACTCCATTTTTCCGTAAATCTCCATTCACAACTCCGACTCATTATTCATGTTTTCGATCGGAAGAAAACATGACTTTCCTTATGAAACGTGTCTTTACGGATTTAATGGAAAGCGGAATCGAACATAATAATGAGGTTCGGAGAAAGAAAAGGCCATTGGGACCAAAATCCGAGCACAAATCACATAAAACTAGAGAATGATGAGTTAGATAAAAACTGTTAAGCCTAAACGTCCCCCAGAGTCACTAAGCCTTGGACCTAATAGTTTCCTGAAAAGACTAAAACTAACCGGTGGCCTCCAAAGTAGACGTTCCTGGTGCTCCAGTCGTGGTAGAAGTTTCAGAAGTCGAGCTAGGAGTTCCAGAAGTTGAAGAAGATTTGGCCGAAGATCCAGTCAAAGAGACTCCGGTGGTGATCGTGGATTCCGAGGTTCCAGCTGATGTTTCCGTGGTCGAATCCGTTGTTGAGCCAGTTGTGGAACTTGAGGAACTTGAGGAAGACGTGGTTGGGATTTCTAAAAGTGGAGAATATAATTGGGACCCTCATTCTAAAATAAACTAATCAGTGAAAGTGCTCGTTGAAATAGTGAATGGTGTTGAAGTAGATGTTGGTTTAGCAGTAGTCGTCGAGGTTCCAGTTGAAGTTGTGGTGACGGCGGTACTCGTTGACGTTTCATCGTCGCAATCTCCGAGGAAGTAGTGTTCATTGGAGTCCTGAAAAGCCAGTTACTGATATAATGACTATACTTGAAAACGGGCCCTGGCAAAGTTTCTTTTAGGATCCATATTTTTGACCAACTAAATTAGATATGATAAAACTAGAGGAGTTCTACAAAATGATACTTCTTGAGCAGCTGTAACCCAGATAGTATAATTTGGAGTACTTGTCGAGATCCATCATATCTGATTTAGTTGGCCAAAAATATTGATTCTGAAAAAAACTATGATAGGACCCGCAAGGGCCCGTTTTCAAGTATGATAATAACTGAAATTCTCTGGAACTTACCAGAAACTGGTTGTCGGCAAAGCCAGAGACCACAAGAAGAGGAAGAACAACAAGGACGAGATTCATTTTTGGATGAATGTGAAGAATGGGCTCTCTTCGGAGTCCCTTTTATACATTTTCGGAGCGTCAAGGGGCAACCACCGGCGCACCATGGGGGACTCAGAATGCACTCGTGGATGACTTCGGAAATGAAATCGATGAGATTCCCAGCTTGTTAAAAACTGTAGTAATGATCACGGATCTGATAATATGAGACGGGAAAGGAATTAAAAAATCAGTTTACAAAGTTTCCCAGCAAGATTACAAACCAACAGGAATTTTGGCGGTTTTTAACATACTTCCAGAATTAGGGTTCTGTTGGTTTAGAAATTGGGTCTGAAGCCTTCAATGAATGCTTATCGGAATGCGAATCGTCTCCTTGAATGAGTATTAGGTTGGCGGGAAAGTCTTTGTCACTCTGTTTGTTTAATCACTGTTCTCGTATATGGAGGCTGTGTATGATATCGACTCTAGTGAATAACAAGGTGATAAGAACCTTCCATATAAACAAGTCCCCATTTCCTTCCCTGCTCCTCATCTGTAATTGAAACGATATGTTTGTTCCCACTGCTATTCACATCAGACATGTTTTGATTTACCTCTTCCTATCTCACACCACGATGAAGGATTCGGAAACTTTCTTGAAGAATGTGTACAACACACATGCCCCTCACTACAATACTATTCGCAATTGGTTCCATCGTTTCGAAAAAGATGACTTCTCGCTCGATGAAAAGGATCGCTCTGGGAGACCCCGTGAGTTGGATTTGGACAAGCTGAAGCACGCATTGCAATCGGATCCATTTCAATCTAGCCGTGAACTAGCTGTCACATTCGGAGTTCACCATAGCACAGTCCTTGAAGGTTTGAAGTCTCTTGGAATGAGAAAACTTTTTGGTCGATTCATACGTCATCACCTGACTCAAGCCAACCTTGACCGCCGAGTCGACGATTCGATTACTCTTCTCACTCTCCACGCGGGCGATCGATGGCTGGACCGGCTAATAACCGGAGATGAGAAGTGGGTCTTCTACGATAATCACCACAGGAAATCCCAGTGGGTTGGAGAAGGAGAGAGCCCACAGGATGTCCCCAAACCCGGCCTTCATCCGAAAAAAGTTATGCTCTCTGTGTGGTGGGGAGTGGACGGCCCCATCTACTGGGAACTTCTGCCCGAGGGCAAAACAATAACTGGAGACCTCTACACTACTCAACTACGAAACCTCAAGAAAGCAGTCGACCGTTCGGCCCTGAAAGACAAGAAAGTGTACTATCAACATGATAACGCTCGCCCACATGTTTCGAAACAAGTGAAGCAGGAGCTGATGGGATATGGATGGAATGTTCTCCCTCACCCCCCGTATTCTCCTGATCTTGCTCCTTCCGACTATTGGTTATTTGGCGATATGACACGTGCCTTCGAAGGAAGAAGCTTCAATTCCCGTGGAGCGGTCGAAGCGGCACTCAAACAATACTTTGCCTCACGCCTGGCTGGATTCTACCGCAATGGAATCCATAAATTGAGGGAACGTTGGAGACATGTTGTTGATAATGATGGACAATATAATTAATTATTCGGTTATTTTTTCTTTGAGAAATAAACTATTGAAAAAGTGACAAAGACTTTCCCGCCAACCTAATATTTTGAAAATTTCAGCATTATATGACCATATCAATTTGAAACGGGTGGCTATTTGCTTTGTTGGAAGCATCAAAAGGTTCTTTTGAGTGATAATCTTATGCCCCGGATTTGATTTTTGAGGTTCGGGGTACCGATTTTCATCGATTTCCTTGTTTGGCTCTGAAATAAGTGTGACCAGAATAATTTGTACTCTACAATGAGCAGGTATACAGCAACTGACAACTATTTGAGACATTTGTTTAATTGCAATACTTTGAATATGTACCATCTATTTTTATACATCCAGCCGAACCCTCAACTTCAGACTTTTCGCAAAATATATTTTTTTTGTTTTCCTATTTTTTGAACTGAACCGTTTGGGATATATCATACTGATTAGTTATTCCTCTTTTTCTTCAGTGTTCCACTTTTAATAAAATGTGCTGCTACAGTACCTTTCTTGATTTCTTGGCCCCCATTGTTTTGTGGTTTGTGCCCAGACTCATTATTCCCGAACAACGTCATTCATATTCCGCCGAAAAATCGGGAGCCCGAATTCAAAAAGCTTTTAGTCGAAAACAAGAATAATGAGTCGGAGTTGTCAATGGAAACAACGCACAAACGAAGATATGATAGTTGTCTTGAAGAAGGCTGGAATCAGGGGGACCAAGTATGAACATGTGAATTGAGTTAGTATTTGAGATGAACAAGGCCACAGATGGAATGAGGACTAATCCGTTTAGATGTACGATTTGAAAAGATCAATACTCATACTCAGAATTGTCGATTTCGTAATCAAATGTTTTTAAAGGTGGGGGGACTGGAGATTTTTCGTAGTTTTTTTGTAGCTAGAGTATGCATTCTACCGTCACGGTGTACAACGCTTAATGTCACTCTGCGTACAGCTGTCGTCCTCGCCTTTATGTAAGCAAACGGGCATGCGCTTTCTCTTTGCCCGCGTGGCTCAGTCGGTAGCGGCGCCGCACCCTCAATCCTCGCCTTCACAAGTTCAACTCCTCGAGGGGCATCTTTGAACGGAATTTCGAGAACATTATTTTTTTCATGTCCCCCCACCTTTAAATCTCTTTTTGTCATTTTGCACCCTTCGAATTGAGGACCTGGTGATTGAGGAATTGGTTCGTACCCCAGTGGCTAGAAAGATCGTGTAATCTCCAAATAATTTGTTTTTTTTGGCATTTCTCTAGTCTGCTTGAATTTCAATTATTGACCTTTCGGTTACTGAAAAAAGAACGGCGCCAGAAAGTCCGAGCAGGTCATTAAAAATGACCATCTGCCGTGCCCATCGAATGTTTTTTTTTTAAACTTTTGTCTATCCTCCATGAATTATCATCTTTTGAGACTTCTTGGAACGCTCGTGAAAAAAAACTAGCTTTCTGAAAAAAATTGAGTCTGAGATCATTTTCAATGTGTCTACCCAAAAAGTAGTATCTCAAATGAGCCAGCTGAATGCAGAATACTTTCTGGATTACTTGACAAATCACATAAATTTACTGAAGTTCTGAATTTCCGAATTTTTGTCTTTTAAATTGCAGTTTTTATGAATTTCAGAAATTGTAGAAATTAATTCCAAAATTACAAATCCATTATATCGAAACCCATCTGAGCATCTGTTCCATGTTTTAATAGATCCACCATTCTCCCTAAAAGGTATTTCATGCAATCTAGAATGTCTAATGGCGCCAAAAAGGTGTACCCTTGAATAAACGAAGCTCTCTTTTTTTAATGCACCTGGGGGTCATTAAAAAGCAATTAGACAAGAATCGGGTGATGAGAAAAAATATACATGTAATATTGAAGAATGTATTTAAAGTATATGTTTATTTTGGTAAAAGTGAGAGACTTTGATTTTAAATTTTTATTATTTTTGTAGAAAATACTGAATTTCTGGGCATCTGATATTCTGAACTTCGGAAATTCCAAAACTCTTAATTCGGAAAATTTCATATTCAATTTTTTACCCGTGGAGACCCGTTTATTCAGTAATACATACATACAAGATTAAAAAACACCAAAAAACCCAAGATTAGGTGAAATACATAAGAGTATAATGAAAATTAGCGATTTGAGTTTTCAAGTTAGCGATACCCGTACATCGATGACATTGGACCATTCTGAAAATTCAAAGCTGAGAGTGAGGGGCTTCATTCTCTGTTTTTTGTACCAGTAATTGTATTCGAAAACTCTTTCGGTGGGATCTCTCAGAAAATCGTGAAGATGGTGGAGGTAGACTAGACTCTGAAAAAAAGAAATTGAATAGTATTTTTGTCAAAAAAGATGTTTTAAAAAAATTATTTATCTTCTTGTACTGTGGCCTACAATACTTTTCAGGTACCCGAAATCGGTTGTTTTTCTGACACAGTCCTAACAGACTCACGTATTCATAGCAGCAACATCTTTTAGCTTCCGACACGATCTCGGTTTCTTTACGCATCTTCTTGAGCGCGTTGTGCACCTGGAACATCGGAGAAATTACATCATTGATATTTGCTGAAAAAGTTTTAGGGGGTGAGAAATACCCCACGTAATCTTCAGCTGATTTTTGCCATTTTCAGAAGTTGGGAACTTAGCAGTCAAGTTTCCGGTCCCTCTCAAAATTTTGGTATTGTACATTTTCTGAACAAAAGTTTTTTGATAAATAATCTGAAAATCCATTTCCAACCGTGCAATTCTGTCCAAAAACCAACTTCCTTCCCTAGCTCATCTAGAACTCGAGATACGATCATTCGAAGTTTCCGAGATTAGAAACGCAGTGTGTCTCGTCGTCTGGGTCTCTAGCTTTCTGAATTTCGGTTCTATTTCGATTTCTGGATGCGCTAGAAATGTAATTTTTACACAGAATTGTAGGAAGTAGGTTTTATTTTTATCAAAAAATGACTTTTTCAAAAGTTACAAAATTGTCGAAAAAAAGTCTTAAAACAAAACTAACCTTTGCATCCAAATCATCATCCAATGAAGAGGAGATTAGTTTGGTCCTAGATATTGAGTTTTTCATCGTCTTGAGACCATTAAAAGTTTCCAAGTCAAAAAGTCCGTCAGTCTTCGAATCATCTTCCGTATCCATCCGAATTACCGTAACCTCAATATCCGAAGCCAGAACATTCTCCAACACAAGAACACCGACAATAAACAGAAGAAGTAGATCCTTCATCTGAAAATTTTGGTTATTTCAATTAGAAAAAAAAAACATCAGGAAGGAGAATTACTGAAGAGTTAAAAATAAAAGTTAACGAAAACGAGAGTTCCGAAAAGCAGTTGTCAAAATTGGGGGATTCTGAATCGGAAGAAGACGTGCCATATGCGATGTTCTGGAAGATTCACAATGGTTTCCCGAAAAATAGTTTCAATCGGGATGATGTTTTCCGTCTAGAACCGTATTCGGAGTTTGTGCTCGGGCTCGGAAACCACTAATTGTCACAAAATTGCGAAATTGAGCACAAAATTGATATGTGTCAAAGGTCATATTGTATTTTTCCGATGCTTCAAACAAGTAAAAAACATGGCCTGTGCCCTAATTATCCAAGTATGGCAACAAAATTGTAGAAAACACGGTATATTTTTTTAATAGTAATATTGATGAATCCTTGAAATGGAAAACAGCGAAGTTAAAAATTTACGAATAACGTAACTGTCAAGAAAAATTCCTCTCTATCCTCGACTCTGGATAGAAACAAAAACTTCCCTTCTTGGATTTATCACTTTCTTCCCTATATTTATCAGATTTGTTATCATTGTTACAGTTTCCATTGATAATTTCATTGATTTCATTTTCGAAGTCATCCACGAGTGCATTCTGAGTCCTCCATGGCGCCCCGATGGTTGCCCGTGGACCCTCCGAAATTGTATAAAAGGGGGGCCCGAAGAGAGCCTATTCTTCACATTCATCCAAAAATGAATCTCCTTGGTATCATCCTTCCTCTTCTTGTTGTCCTTGGCTCTGCCCAAAGCCAGTTTGTGGTAAGTTAATCAAGTTTGTTTAACTTTTAACAACCATTGATATAAACAGCCATCCGTTGTTTTCTTGTTCGCTCTGGACTGCTACGTGGAGACTTCCACTAGCACGTCTACAACTTTGACTTTGACGGCTACTTCCAAGACGACTCCAACTTCTTCGACAGTAACTACCACGACGCCAGTGACTGGTTAGTTTTTTTTTTCAATTTGATTACAGTACTTCTGGTCAAGGCTGTGCCACGGCCGGCTTTTACTACGGTTGAGCCGACCGCGGCTTCAGAAAATATTTGAAGAAGCCGCGGCTAGCCTTGCTTCTGGTGAATAGTGACTGATAAGTTTCATAATAAGGTTATTCAGAGAGAAGGGAACTTGTGATTTGCTGGTTTTTTGAATAGCAAAATAGGCAAATTGCTGTGGCCGCGTGAGTCGAAAATACTGGAGTTTTCTAGGCTATTCGCTAGTCTTTCTAGCCCATTTGGCTAGTTCATGCTATGAAGGAAACTCTACCTGCCTTCAATGCTGAAGCAATTTACGAGCTCAAAATTAAAGGAACATAGGGTTTCCTGGAAAGGTCTCGTACGGACTAGCCAAATAACCTAGAAAGACTAGCATATGGCCCAGAAATTTGCAGAACTTCTGATCCTCGTGTACGCCACAATCGCTTAGGGATATGTTTCTGGTGTACATCATACTGACTAGCTATCACTCTCTTTCTTCAGTTTTCGACTGTTGCGGCTACGGTATCTTGATTTCTTGGCCCCATTTTTCGTGTTTTGTGCCCAGACTCATTATTCCCGAATAATGATGTTTTATTCAGCGGAGAATACGGGGGCCGAATATAAAAAGCTTTTAGAAGAAAACAAGAATAATGAGTCGGAGTTGTCAATGGAGATTTACGGAAACATGGAGTGTGGCTTGTTTTTGTGGGCTCTCTGAAACTGTAATTTTTAGGATTTCATAATCAGATGATTTTTCAAAGTTGAGGTTGAGTTAAGATTAGGTAAAGTTATGTTAAATTTAATAACTTAAGTTAAGATTAGGTAAGGTTAGGTAAGGTTAGGTAAGGTTAGGTAAGGTTAGGTAAGGTTAGGTATAGTAAAGGTAGGTGAGGTTAAAAAAAGCTGAGCTAAGCTAATAAAGGTTAGGCAAGGTGAAAATTTGATAAAGTGAGTTTAAGACAAGGTTAAGCTAGGTTTGAGTTAGGCTTAATTTAAGTTAAGTGTCACCAAGTACAAGCTACGACTTCATCTGATACTCCAATAGCAGCTACATCAGTTCCCACCTCGTCTTCATCTTCTTCCACCTCAACTGCCACATCTTCACCTGAATCCTCTGAACCTTCATCGCCAGTCACGTCAACAGAATCTACTCCAGATTCCTCGGCTGCATCGCCATCAAGCTCTACATCCCCTGTCGTTCCCTCTATGGAATCCGAAGCCACGTCATCCTCGGCCCCAACAGAATCATCATTTGCTTCAAGTTCTTCTTCAACAAGCACTTCCATTTCATCAGAATCCTCTTCGACATCATCTCAAGAATCCACTACGGCATCTCCTGGCTTCTTCGCTACAGTTTCTAACTACATCTTCGGTTCATCAGCTACTTCTTCGGCTCCAGCTTTAGAAGACCGCACAACGACGATTTCAACCCAATCGGTAACAAGTCCAGCGAAAGTTTAAAATTTCAAAGGAAACGTTTTCAGAGCAGCCCCACCAAAGAATGTCACACGTATCTGTTCCAGAAAAAAGGCTGCGACGTCCAAGAAGAGAGAAACTCGTGTCAAAAATATCCAGAGCCCGAGGATCCATACTACGTGCACCCAGTGAGTTCAAGATACAGTACCTTTAAGTCGATTTTCGGCGATTTTTAGCCATTTTCAGGAGCATGGAGCTTGTCTGTCAAGTTTTCAATCCCTTTGAAAATTTCAGAGAGCATAAAACACACCTTTCTCGAATCCAAGTCTGTTGTCCTCCAAAACTTTCAAAGTGATCTGAAACTTGACAGCCTCCAGACTCCTGAAAATAGTCGAAATGGCCGAAAATCGACTGAAAAAATACCTTTTTTTAATATCTTATCTACCGGTATTTTACGTTTTCCGATCAAAATGTTTTTACAAATATTCTAGAAATCCATTTCAAACCCTACAAAAACCAACTTCCTAGCTCATCTAGAACTCGAGATACGGTCATTTGAAAATTCCGAGGGGTTAGAGACGCTGCGTGTCTCGTCGTCTACGTCTCTAGCCTCCTTAATTTTATGTACCTCTATCTCGGTTGCAAGCGTTGCTAGAAATGTTATTTTCAAGCAGAATTACTGTAGTTATTCTCAAAAATCAAAATTTCACATTTTAGGATCAATTGTTGTGTACCATTCCACCATACACTTCCAACACACATTTGGCCATGGAGCACGGGTTTGAGAAAGGACTCAAATACGCTCTAGTTGGATCGGTGGAAGACAAAAACAGATTGAAAGGAAAAACTGTGGATTGGTTCCTCAACAACATGCAGCAACTCAATATCTTCATCGCAATTGATAAAAGAAAAAAGGTAAGTGTCTTGATTTTCCCTGATTTTTATTGAATCTTCAGAACTATTACCTCGACGCCACAAAGCTATGCGATGAGAATCTTGGAAACTGCGTCAAGCTTCTAGCTAAAGATGTGGAGAAGTTCATCTACTGGAATTGCACTAGCAAACTCGAGAAGCCGTATGACTACAACAGAAGAATGCATGCGAGATTGGCTGAATTGCGGAAATAATCAATTTTGATCATTTTATTTTTGTGTGTATTATTTTATCTTGGGATTTTTGGTGTATTTTTTTGGAATTTTGGTAAATTTTAATTTTTGGGGTTTTTTGGTGTATGTTAATCTCTTGAGTATTTTCAATAAATGGGCCCCCACGGGTAAAAAAATGTTTCAAAATTTCAGAATCCCTGGAAATCAACATTTGAGATTCTCAGAATTTCAGATCTTTAGAATATCAGAATCTCAGAATCTCAGAATCTCAGAATCTCAGAATCTCATAATCTCAGAATCTCAGAATCTCAGAATCTCAGAATCTCAGACCTTTAGAATCTATAAATCTCAGAATCTCAGAATTTCAGAATTTCAGAATTTCAGAATTTCAGAATTTCAGAATTTCAGAATTTCAGAACCTCAGAATCTCAGACCTTTAGAATCTATAAATCTCAGAATCTCAGAATCTCAGGAACTCAGAATTTCAGAATTTCCGTATTTCAGAATTTCAGTACTTTAGAATCTCAGAATCTCAGAATCTCAGAATCTCAGAATCTCAGAACCTCAGAATCTTAGAATTTCAGAATCTCAGAATCTCAGAATCTCAGAATCTCAGAATCTCAGAACCTCAGAATCTCATAATCTCAGAATCTCAGAATCTCAGAATCTCAGAATCTCAGAATCTCAGAATCTCAGAATCTCAGAATCTCAGAATCTCAGAATCTCAGAATCTCAGAATCTCAGAATCTCAGAATCTTAGAATTTCAGAATCTCAGAATCTCAGAATCTCAGAGCCTCAGAATCTCATAATCTCATAATCTCAGAATCTCAGAATCTCAGAATCTCAGAGCCTCAGAATCTCATAATCTCAGAATCTCAGAATCTCAGAATCTCAGAATCTCAGAATCTCAGAATTTTAGAATTTTAGAATTTTAGAATTTCACACCATAAGAATTTTAGACTTCGGATTTTGAATATTCAGAATTTCAGAATTTCAGAGACAGTTTAATTAAAATTTCAGAATTTCAGAATTTTCTGGACTTTTGTTGTGTCTTGTGCCAGTACCGTGCGATTCTGAAAAACACAAAAATATTGTCAATTTTTCCGATGGATTGACATTGGTTGGAGTACAAAATACCAAAAGAGTGGATTAAACAATTTGGTCAGGAAATTGAAAATTCTGAATATGTGTATTGATCTTATCAAACTGTACATGTAACGGATTAGTTCCCATTCGATCTGTTGCTTCTTTTGTCTGAAACACTACCCTATTTTCAAATGTTATACTTGGTCCCCCGGATTCTAGCCTATTTCCTAATATTTATCCTGTCTTCATTTGTGCGTTGTTTCCATTGGCAACTCCGACTCATTATTCTTGTTTTCGACTAAAAGCTTTTTAGATTCGGGTCCCGATTTTTCGGCGGAATATGAATGGCATTATTCGGGAATAATGAGTCTGGGCACAAACTACAAAACAACGGGGCCAAGAAATCAAGAAAAGGTACGGTACCAGAAAAAAAAACTGAAGAAAATTAGAAATAATCAACCAGAAACAAATCCTCAAGCCGTTCCAGTTGCCGTCCTTTTGAAAGAAAAGTTTGAAAAAAAGAAATTCCCATATCATTAAGCCTTTCCAGTTGCTGTTGCTGTCCTTTTGAAAAAGAATTTCTCAGACAAGAACAAAGTTCCTGCCGGGGGGTTAAAAAGGATGCCGGCAGGCTATTGAAGTGGTGGCAGGAGAAAGTACCTGCCGGCGGGCTAAACGACACTCGGCTCGCCGGGATTTTAATTTGCATATTTTATTATTTTGTTTTGAAGCTAAAATTGATTATGTCTATTATTTTACTGAATTTCTTTTACGAGGTATATAAAATTACTTGTTCCGACACTGTGTACATTCTGAAAAGGAAAAAGTATTGCTCCGACATTGCAAATTTCCTTATATTTTCCAGAAAGTCCCAAAATGACTCCTCAAACACCTCGCGGTCGTTTCTGCAACAATGGATCTGTGTCTACGTTTCCTCCTCCAACAGGTATTTATACCATAATTTATCCGTTAAAAAAAAACTTTACAGGATCTCATTCGAAAAACGACAAATCGGGAACTACCCTCAACAAATCTGGAAATAACCTCACAACTACCCTCACCGGTGAACAACACAATATAGAGAATTCAGGATTTTAAATTATCTATTCCAGATCGGCTTATGAGTTTCGTATACTTTGACAAACTCGATATCTACGCTACTGGCAGACTTCTTGCTCAAGAGTCAAAACAAAAGGATAGGAAGAGATTGTCTAGATGATTATCAGGATGAATATTTCAATGCAGAGGAGTTATTGGATGATGATTCCGATGGTCGTCAAAAAAAATTATGAGAACTTTACGGAGCTTTTTGAAGAGACTGAATTCGCTTCCGAAAACAATGAATTCGAAAATGATTCAAGCTCCAAAGATAGTGAGTTGTTTTCTCCATTGTTTTCAAAATTCCTATAACTGATTTCAGTACTCGTTTTTGTCTCGTTTATCCTTATGCTCCGGTTATCGCGAACCCAAGTTAAAATGGCAATCGCAATCGTCGAATATTTTCTAAAATGTTCTCTGCCTTTCACGGTCAGTCCAGCTACTTTAATTCAGATCATAATGTCATTTTCAGGCAAAAGAAGTGTTCGATGAAGTAAACGCCGACGTATGAGTCACGCTCCAAAAACTCGGTTTTTTTTTGTCCAAAGTGTTTATGTTTCATACCGAAAGGACAATCATGCTCAAATTTTGGTCAGCAGCAGAAATTCGAATGCGGAGCCCCGAATGGAACGAATTCATCAAAGATTCATCGTCAATTTAGTATGTTTTCCACTGAATTTTTTGTTCGTTGACTTTGGAATCTTTTTCCAGTTATCGAGCTCTTGTGCGAAATCAGCCGTTCAAGTCTACATCATCTTCGCATCCGGGTCCGCAGAAGAGTCAAATGCGTTTGATGACATTTCGAAAAAGGAGAAATACTAGAGGATTCGGATCTGTATGCTTATTCATGATTCGAAGAGGCCAGAGCTACGTGCTCATAGAAGAATATGGATCAGCAGCTGCTCTAAGACTTGATTTTTTAAAGTTAGCTCGGAACACGCAACGTTTGGCGTTTGGCGAATTTTCCTCAAAGCGGAGGGGGCTAGATCAATGAAAGCAATGCCCATAAGCATCAATAATTGTCTGGCAACGCCTACGTAATTCCTTGATTCCATCGGCCCAGAACGAGGAGAGCTGTGATTGAAAAAGTGGGTCAACTCCTTTTTTCTGTCATCTTTTCAATTGAAGTATTTTCTATCAAGATGACGTTTAAGAGCTCCGAAATACTATTTTTCCTGAAGGGCAAGGTCCGGAAATACGATGAGTGCAAAAGAATAGTTCAGCCAGAAGACATGAATTTATGGCGATGATTTCAATTTTGTCTTAATGTTTTTTAGAACCTTTCTATCATTTTTGAACAGAGTAACTTTGTTTTATGGGGAATTCCCAAAAAAAAACAGTGTTTTTAACAAGTTTGATTTTCATTCGAGGTCTTGATGAAAATAAAAAATATCAGATAAGAAGCAACAGTGTTATCTGATTTTGACAATTATGAGGGGAAATGAAGAGCCATGTAGGAAAGGTGGGTGCATTGTTTGGGATGTTTAAGTGCTGGTGGCATTTGGGCATCTTATCCCGGCACGCTCCACTCTCATTAGGTATTGTGCGGGGAATCTTAGCTCAACACTACCATACACTTTCTTCACCGACTCGCAGTACACCTAAAAACACATTTTCATTATGTGGCATTATGTGAGCTGAGTTTGCAGCCAGGTTGATCAAAAAGACATTGGAAAACGTATTTTTTCTTTTTCCAGGCTGAATGATACTCTAATCACTGCTTTGCAGTTTCTCGAATGTTCTTTGATATAAACATTACAACGTTCCATAAACATCTTATAATAAGTTAAACTCACAACACGATCTTTGAGCCAGAAAACCACGTAGGTTGCGTTAGAAGCGTAGTAGTCTAAGTAGCACGGGTTCATCCAGTAGAAGTTTTTGAAATTTGCGCCCGGAAGTTTAGCATCGTATTCGAACAGATTCTACAAAACGGAAATATAAATACAGTCAATCAGATAATGGACTATTTCTTCTATGTAGATGTTACGACTTACTTTGGTAGCGCTGGCATACGCTTTCAAATTGTTGTACACGATGGTTTGGTTGGTTTGTGCAACGGTTACGAAAGCCTTGTAAAGTGGCTCCTCACTATCAGTCAAGGCCTGAACAGATGTATTGAAGACAGTTTATTAAGTTATAGACTTACCATTGGCTGAATGGCCAAGCAGACCAAGAACACCTTGACAGCAAGGAACATCTCAGTGTTTCAATCGAGAATGAGAGTGAAGAGCTTCTTCCCGAGCTCCTTTCCTTTTTCCCATAGGCCACGCCTTTCTCTTCTTGGGCTCCTTCGGCCTCTGCCTCAGCCAATCCCTGAATTACCGTATGCCTTCGTACGAAATTGGCCTTGTTTTTTTCAGTTTCTTTGATGATATAAACCATTTTCAGGTAAATCACATATTAAACTACCTTTGGAACTAGAGTGACTTCAAGTCGACTTGGGTCGATTTGAGTCGATTATCGCGTCGAGTCAAGTCGACTCGTGTCGATGCGAATATTGTCGATTTTATCGAATTAATCGACTGAACGTCAAGTCGACGCGTTGCTCTGTTTGGAACTAATTTCATGTTTCACAATGAAACACGCATCTGTTTTTCTTGAAAACATTCGACTGTTATGTGGCAGAAAAACATTGTTTTTATTAAACTTGTATTCTTTTCTGTTGTTGCCGTTATAATTATTAAGTTGGCACGTGGGTTCAGGCGAGGGGGTCAGAAAGCGCGCCCCAGTAATTTTTTCGAAAATTATCAATTGGCTGCTGAGAGTTCGTTGACTGACAATCATACTTTAATGCATTAGGCCGAGAAGACGAATTTTTTTTTTCAATATTTTTCGATGTTTTCTTTCGTTTTCGCTCGTTTTTTCTCATTTTTTCCCCTTTTTTCAGTGAAAATTAGTTGAAAAAAGTTTCAACTTATTTATTAAGGTGAGAAGTCCAATGCAACCGCCTCGTGCAGTGATGAGTCAAGTGAGCGAATGGAAGAAAGCTCGATTTTCGACGTTTTTTTGAGGTGAGTAACTGAAATATGTAATGTTCCAATATTTATTGATTTTCTAGGCTCGAGCCATCGCTCCGTCAGCTCGCCCAGAAGTACAACTGCAACAAGTAGATCTGGAGAAAGTGCTACGATCGTTTCCCACCACATGCCAGCAACTGCAGAAAAAAGAAGTGCGGACACTCGAACGATCTTCGCATCAAGAAGAAGTTGAAGTAATCTTCATTAGCCTTCGTCCATCGGTTGCCGAAGACTGTCCGTCTCTACGCTAACATGATGCAGTACTTCCAGTACAGTAGAAGCTATTATAACCCTGACATAACATTTAGATAAAATTTGTAGGAATACTATCTCATATATATTTCGGATGTCATGTCCTTAGGTGATATTAAATGCATTGAGGTTCTTCCATAATTATTAATTCTTTATTAGAGGTTATTCAATAATTCGTTCTATTTTCAGAGCAACCAGAATCCGGCATCCGATTGCGAAGACAACAACGACACGAGCTGTGCACATGAGAAGTCGCATGGATCAATTGGGTTTAATAATAATTGTTATCTCTTGTTATATGTTTAAATCTCAATAAATGGTCATATATTGCCTTGCCCTTCCTCGGAAAATTTAGGGAGAACAGCAACATAAATGGAGCAGTATTCACCGAAAAAAAAAACGAATTCATAGCCTTCTGTATCGTTAAAAAACATTAGAAATAACCACGTGAAATCCACGTGTCATTTTGAATTAGATAATTTCGGCTTGCCTACAAGTTAGCTGGGGCGAGCTTTCTGACCCCCTCGCCTGAACCCACGTGAGTTGGTTAAAATTAAAGTGTAGATTTCGGTACCATTAACTAAATAGATTGAGATAGTGATAAGAAACAGTGAAATCGCTTCATTCACATTTAGTAAACGTGCAGATGAGCTGAGTGATTCCCATTCTGAAAATGTGATAAGCATATGATGAAGTTGTGCAAAACATACATTCCGTTGAAAGAATATAAACCATCATCACCACAAAGAAGTGTAGAGTCTACAAATGTTTGGGCCGAATTTACTGAAACGTCATGTGTACCATCCGCGTTGACAGCCTAAATTTCGACATATTATTGTCTGCAATATCAAAGAATTCACAGTCATAACCACTGAGTCGCAAAAAAGGGGATCATCTCTGGTACACTGTACATGAGTTTGTTGGCATCCGTCGACTGGGTCTCTTGGCCTGAATAAATATGAATGTCTTTTTAAAAATAATGACTAGTTTACGAAGTGTCGAAATCAGTATCTGGATCTGGCATTTCTGGGGCGATTGCATAAATATCACACATGCCACAACCTGGAACAGAATTTCGATTTATTAATAAACGAATTTTGGTTCGATCCAAAAAAAAGTTCTTTCAAAACATAATAGCACTTTAAAAACATGAAACGGTTAATTGTGCTTGTATTTTGTAATTTTATCAAGCTTCAAAAACACAAATTTCTTGGGACAGATCCTAAATTTCATTAATACCTGCTCCCGCTGCTGTCGTTACTTCTGTAGTCATTTCTGTAGTTGCTTCAGTAGTTTCTTCAACTGGCTCAGAAATAGCTTTTGTAGTTGTCGGAGAAATAGCTTCTGTAGTTGTTATGTAGACTTCTTCGGGGGGTATCGTAGCTACACACGCTTTAAGTTGTGGTACAAAAAATATAGACAAGATAAATAATTGAACTAGCATTCTTCTGTAGTGCGATCACTCCTGAAAAGTAAATGGATTATGTAACTGAGAAATTGTTAATCATTAGATCCCAAAAATTTTAAAGGTGGGGGGTCATGAAAAACTAATGTTCTCGAAATTCTGTTTAAATATGCCCCTCGAGGAGTTGAACTTGTCGAGGCGAGTATTGAAGGTGCGGCGCCGCTACCGACTGAGCCATGCGGGCGAAACTGGAGCGGGCGCCTGATTGCATACATAAAGGCGAGGACGACCGCTGTACACAGAGTGACATTAAGCGTTGTACACCGTGACGGTAGAATGCATAATCTAGCCCCAAAAATCCCCCGTAAAATCTCCTGTCCCCCCACCTTTAAAAGTTTTTTTTCAATTTTCAACGGCGTTCTTCGGGAATTTCTGACTTTTTCAAATTTGTTCAATTATGAGTGATAAAAGGGATCAGCTTTGCAGGTTCCTTATCAATAGGTGTATGAACATCTGTTGCGAAACAAATTCTGATCCTGTTGGTTCTAGGACAAAAATCCAAAAGATCAGTATCGGCTGAGACACACAAGCCGATCAAAAAAATGAACCAACTTTGAAATGTTTCATTAATCTAGTCTTTGATGTTTTTGACAGCTGATAAATGTTCAGTGTGACAGTCGTTCATTTTCGGATGATCTATGTATCGTAAACACTATCAGAAGGCCACCCACACCGCCAATTTTAAACCTATAAATCCCGGTTTCTGTAAGAGATATCAAAAAGCGGTCAACTGGCAAAATGTTTATCATATTATCAAAAAAAACTTTAATAGTTGATCACTTTTTGATAACTTTCTCAGAGACCCAGATAAATTGGCTTGAAGTTGAAAGTTAAGGTGGTTTTTTATTAGTTTTACGGTAATTTAGAAATTGTAATAATAAGTGTCAAAATTTTGGTATTGCAAAAGGAAAACTTTGTGAATATGTTCTGGTTCTATAACTAAAATCATAACTTACGAATTGGTAATGATTTTGAATTCAAAATTTGGCAAATTTCTTATCAGGCAAACTAGTTGGAATCAAGCAGGAAAAAAAACCCGGTTTCAGAGGAAGTTAGAATTCGGCATTCTTCAAAGAAAATCTGCTCTTTTTATAGTCCTGGGGGCGGAGGATAACGGTTTAATCAGAAAGCGATTGGATCAAAACAGGAAATACCTTTATAGCGTTTTTCGGATTGATAAAAGAGAAATCAATTTGAAGTATGAAGTTGATTATTAGCATTTTTTTGGCAGTTGGTATTTGATACGACATTTAGCTGAAAATTGATATATTTTATAGAGACAAGGGGAGGATCAAATTCAAGATTATTTGTAAGAAGAACAAACGAGGATGAAAAAACATAGTACACAAAAACAAAAATCACAGAAACATATGATCAAGGAGACTAGACATGAAGGCATAAACTTATTTCTGGTGATTTAAAAAGCCATCTAGAATCTTCTAGAAATGTTATGCTCAAAATTGTAAAGAAAAATACTATGAGGGTTTTCCACTCGGAGGTCTTTTTGATTGACAGTTTTTTTTCCAGATCAGATAAGAGTTCCTATTATCCTTCCTGAGGACAATAAGGACATGATCATGGAGCTAGATAAGAAAAAAAAATGTCTGGTAGGTAGCAAGTGTGTTGTCCTTGCTTTTGAAATGTTTCAAAAATCCCTCTATCTAATAGAAAAACCTTCTAATTTCATTTCAAGCTCAATTATCTCAATTTCTATGAAAGATGAGCTGGAAAAATTTTTGTCATTAAATTACCATTGTTTTATCAGTTGACCAAATTTTAATATCTTGCACGAAAATTCTGATAGCTGAGCACGAATCTGCGAGCTGGGAGGCGGTTTATGCAGCATTTATGGTAGAAAAACTAGCGTAACTTTGACAGAATTTTTTCGGTTCTTGTAGAAGCTATCAAAAAGGGACCAAATAAAAAAAATTGCTCTATATTATGATCAACATTTTATCAGTTAACAAAATTCTGGTACCTCTTAAAGGAAACAAAATATATTAGCTTAAAGTTAAGGGAAATTAATTTAAAGCGTTCATTCCCGGAAGTTTCCACAATTTCAGAGAAAATATTCAGGAATAGGTTTTTAAGACTTTAAGCCAATTAAAAGATGTATTTTTCTTTGACTTCTTTTCAAATTTTGAAATAATAATTTTCTAGATTTTCAGTTTTGACATAGGTGGTCCATTTGAAATTTGAGCTCAAATTTTTTTCCCTAATATTCGAAACTTAGGTTCGAAGTCCTATCTAATAAAAATATTCTAAGAAGATTTATGCGTTTCATTTATTGATCTGAGCTTGAAAAATCCTTGAACATGGTAAATAAAATTTTTAATCGAATTTTTCGAAATCGTCAACTTTTGTGAGCTCACCGATAGAAAATTGTTGATTAGCTTTTTTAGGAAAAAAAAACGCTTATCCGTTTCTGAGAGCTCAAAATCAAGACTGCCCTAAACACTGATTTTTCGATGTTATGCGTAAAATTGATTTAGAAATGTTCAGAAAAACAACTTGGAAAATCAAATCAGGTGACATTTGTGATTTTTCTTTTTTTGGTTTTAACAAAGAAGGAAAACCATAATGTTCTGTAAGTCGATAAGGTAACCTTGGCGCAAATTCCTCATTTTCCGCTTAGAAGGCGGGAGAAAGTATTTTCTATTTAAATTCCATGCTACTAGACTTGGAACTAAAAATATTTAATTTAGATTTAATTTTTCAGTTCAATTCAAAAAGGACTTATTTTCATACAAAAGTTTTTAATAAAATCGAAAAAATCGAGCAAAAAATTGAACAATCGAAAAAAGTGAGCACTTCAGAAAGAAGGCCTAATTTCAATAATGATATCAAGAAACGGTCCAAAATTTTATTATTTGGACTGTTTTCAGTTTGAAAATTTTGATGAAATAAAGAAAATTATAAAATTTAAAGAAAAAAAAATATAGAAAATTATAAAATTTTGGTTGTTACTGCATTTTAAAATTACTTATATGTTAGAATTACATGAAAATTGGAAATGAAAAAGGCATGAAAACTAGACTTCCCATTATGCAAATCTAACACATCTTTCTTTTTATACTGACTAATAGATCTAGTTTTTTATTTCTTTAAGAATAAAATTTTGTTTTATAGTTTTAAAGGAAATTACGAAACTGGATTTTTCCGCATTTTGATGTTCTGTATCGTTATGAAACTTTTTTCAGATTTTTAATCTGAAATCCAACTTATCAAGGTACTCCGTTACCGTATCCCGGTTTTGGACCCCTTGATCTTTTCGGACTCTTTCCTCCGATTCACATTAATATCCCGTTATTATTCTTCCGTGAAGTCTATCGGAGCACTTTTCGAAAAATCCTGTAAGTCCCCCGAATTCGTGTTTCATTCTTAAAAGCTTTCGGGTTTCCATGACGCTTCCGAGAAAATCGTATAGATCGGCGCCAAAAACATGATGGGTGAGCAAGGTAGACTACGAAAAGAGAAAAATATTCTCGATTTTCGAGGGAAGGGACTTTCAGGAGAGAGTATTTTAGAAACTGGATAGAAGCTCTGAAGTGAGGGATGGAGTTCTGGAATAGGAAAACAATTCAATCGGAAAAGATTACGACGGAGACAAAAAACACAAAAAACAGATATTTTTCAACCTCAAACCATTCAGTTAATTTTTTACTCAGACAAAATGATCAAAGTATGGACAACTTGTCCAATAAACATTCAGATGTTGTCGAAAATTCGCAAAAATTGGGTGTTCTGGAATCAACCGGATTTCATTTTTTCCAACCTATACAGTACCCAGAGAAGTGCGAAATAAATCTTTTCGGAAGTTCGGATCTCTGAATAATCCGAATTTTTAGTTATCAAAACTTCATAGTCGGAATTTTTGGATATTCGGAAATTTCGAAAATCGGAATTTTAAGATACTCCTAATTTTATAAGCATTAAATTCACCACCTCCTAAATGAGCTCCAAAACGGAGCCGATCAAGACTTTCTATATAAAGTTTGATTGCTCCAGGACCAACCTGGTGACCTAACAAACCGATTTCAGGTTCTGAAATAGTATGGTGAAGGAACCGATTTCGAGTTATAGCTCATTCAAAATGGAGCATTCAAAAAATTGAAGTTTAAAAAAATTAGAGTTGCTTGAAAACACATTTTGAAGTTTTTAGAAGCATTCTCCGTGTGCATGAAACAAAAATACTTACAATAAATTATTTGCTCTTCTCATAATCGTTTTTGAACCCCTCAAGCTGTTCAATTCAAGTTGTTCAAATTTCAAAGTCTCTATACATGTACCAGAACTACTGGATCCCATTTTGTGGTCGAATTTCCGATCAATACCCGAAAAGGAAATCGCATCGCTGTCCTTCCATCCTGTCCATCAACTGATAATTTTTTATCAGAATATCAAACCAATCATTTTTGATATCTTCCACAGGGAACGAGATATACGTTCCCAAAGTTGATGATTTGAAATGAGCGCTCTGTTAGAGTGTTAGATGTTTCTTATTCTCTGAAACTGCAGTTTGGAATATAAAAAAAGTGTTTAAACGCTGTAAAATTGAGTTTTGAAAAAATACAAAGGGTGGAAACAATAGACGTTTTCTACTATAAAAGTAAAATTTAAAAAAATAATTTTGATGTATTTGATACAAAATCTGATATACTGCGTTTCCTATAATAGAATCCCACCAAAGCCGTCAAATTGAACTAAATTATTTCGGTTCCTAAAAGAGATATCAACAATTTGTCCACTGATAAATTATTTATCATAATATCACCAATATTTCACAAGTTGACAAGTTTTTGATATCATTCACAGGAATCAAGATAATTTACCTCAAAATTGTCGATTTGAGTGAGCTTCTATTACAAGAAATACGGTGTGTTTAGTTAAAGGGGGACTCCGACCAGAAATTTTTATTGCATTAAAATGTGTTAAAAGTTATCTATTTTCCGAATATTATTGCGAAAAAATTCAAAAAAAATCCGAAATCTCCGAAAAACGCCGTTGAAAAGGAAGAAAATTCAAAAAAAGGTGCCGCCGAGGGAAGAGGATTTTCAGTGAGAAACCTAGGCCACGGCAGCGGGCGCCTTTCCTATGTGGCAAATTTTCCGGATTTTTTTCAATTTCATGTCCGGCAGGTAAAAAACGTAAAAAACCACTGTCGGCGACTTGAAAAAAAGGCTGTCAGGTGCCGTGGCCTAGGTTTCTCACTGAAAATCCTCGTCCCCCGGCGGCACTTTTTTTGAATTTTTTTCCTTTTCAACGCCGTTTTTCGGGGATTTCGGATTTTTTTGAATTTTTTCGCAATAATATTTGAAAAACAGATAACTTTTAACACATTTTAATGCAAAAAAATTTTTGGTCGGAGTCCCCCTTTAAATTGTTGCTATCGAAGCTTGAATAAAGTGAAGTTGTTATTCTCGAGTTCATCTTCCGGAAAAATTATAAAAACCCAAAATTTCCTATTTCCAGGTACTCATCGGACCTTGCATCTACTATGGACCACGACGCCTGAATATTAATGAACGTTTTTTTTTCTTTTTTTTTTAAATTCAAAACAAGAAATTTGCACAAATTAAATGACACCCTAAATTGTGAATAGATGTGTTCTTAAGTATTTCCTGAACAATTTTGGATTTTTTGGGTCATCAAATATTCTATGTTCTTTGGAGGGCTCATGAACTGGCTAAATTGATCATGAGGTATTTTTAATATCGAAATCTTGCTGAGAATCGACATAAAATGAGTGTTTTAAAATTTCGAGAAAATTCTTAAAAAGGCATGCCAGTTAAAATCTAATATGTATCTTCTAGAAATTCTGAAAGAAAACCTCTCAAGACTGAATGAAATCCTTCTGAAATCTTTTAAAATCCTTCTCCAATTGTTCAATTGAACTTTTATAGACATTTTTCTGAATTCCGCCCTCATCATCTACTCGATCAACTCATTTTTTATTGGGCGGATTTCGGTCCACAGTATGATGGAAGTGATTGCTCTATGGTCGCCAAACCAGTCCTCAAGCACATACGTGATCATAGTTTTTAATCACGCCTTTCAGGATCAGATCAGCGATAAGAGGTGTTTTGCTCTTCTGATATCTTCTGCAGTCTCTTGTTGGTGTATCTTTTGGTTAGGTTTTGTGATAGCTTCGATATCCGAAACCGATTGTTTTTCGGATTAGTTGACTAATTTTAGAGATAAAAAACCTCTATAAAATCTAAAGGATCTAAATTTATAGAAGATTGGCAACATGAAAGTCTGTCAACCTTAAGCATGCATATTTCATTTCCTGCGAAAGATTTCAAAAAGTAGTCAACTGTTAAAATGTTCATTTTAATATCAAAAATACTTTATCAGTTCATCACTTATTGATGTATTTGACAGGAACCGAGATATATAAGCTCTAAATATAAAGTTAGGAGGGTTATTCTAGAAAAGTGTTTACGGTGTTTTCATAATTTCTTTAAAGGTGGGGGGACATGAAAAAAATAATGTTCTCGAAATTCCGTTCAAAGATGCCCCTCGAGGAGTTGAACTTGTGAGGGCGATGATTGAGGGTGCGGCGCCGCTACCGACTGAGCCACGCGGGCAAAGAGAAAGCGCACGCCCGATTGCATACATAAAGGCGAGGACGACAGCTGTACGCAGAGTGACATTAAGCGTTGTACACCGTGACGGTAGAATGCATACTCTAGCTACAAAAAAACTACGAAAAATCTCCTGTCCCCCCACCTTTAAACGGTGGTATGAACTATTTTCTTTCTGCATCTGTATCGGACTGATATGTTTCATTGAAATCTTGGAATGCTCAATTTTAATTCATATCAGCGGTTTTGAGAATTTAAGAATTCTTTGTACTGTTATTTCGAGCATATCAGACCGAGTTTGTGCCAATAATAGTAAAAGTTAGGGAATTAATGAAGATACTGCATGGGACTTTCACACATCGAGTTTATTGTGTTTGCTTTTATTAGTTTCTGAATTATCGTATAACAGCAAAGAAATGAGGTTCGAACTTTTGAATGACTGTCCCAAGTATGTATGCTAAAATTGAGCGAGTACAGCATAGTTTTTTTCAAACCATGAAAAATGAGTCATAACTTTTGTCATAACCTGTAACTTGGAAAACTCTCACCGTCCCAAATTTTCGAAATCTCTCTCCGGAACAAAGCCAGTTGAAGTTGAAGTCCAAGATAAGGACTTGAGAATTAAAAATGAAAAATTTGAACAAAACCAAACAGAGTATTCATTGAAAAAAAGTCTTCTACAGTATGCATTAAACAAAAAAAACCGTTTTTTAAAGGTGGGGGTACAGGAGATTTTTCGTAGTTTTTTGTAGCCAGAGTATGCATTCTACCGTCACGGTGTACAACGCTTAATGTCACTCTGCGTACAGCTGTCGTCCTCGCCTTTATGTATGCAATCGGGCGTGCCCTTTCTGTTTGCCCACGTGGCTCAGTCGGTTGCGGCGCCGCACCCTCAATCATCGCCCTCACAAGTTCAACTCCTCGAGGGGCATCTTTGAACGGAATTTCGAGAAAATTATTTTTTTCATGTCCCCCCACCTTTAATGTTTCTTTAAACCCGTTCCCTGCAAAATCACTGTTCTTTTTTGCCCTTTCAGAAAAAATCGTTGTATCAAAGATTCGATTTTTTTCTCAAGGCTAATGGTTTAGCTGTAAACCTGATAGTTTAAATTTCTCTAAAAAGTACAGTAACAGGAAAACTTCTATATTTTTTAGACGTTCGAAGTTGACTATTTTCAACTACTAAAAAGGAACTGTATGTTTTTTTAACCCTCTGATCCTTCTGTCCTACAATGTTTGCCCATAATTTCATTTTTCAAAACAATCAAAAGTTTAAAAAAAAATTAAAAACATGCGAACCGAGAAATTTGGACAGCTATGGCCTGATGAAATGACATGGGGTGTGACTATTGTTATTTCCTCAGAGCACAGCTATCCAAATTCACAGCTCTTTGGAATTTCGACTTACGACTTATAGCTTACCGTAATCCTTGGGAAAGTAATATTTCAAAGTTTTAGTATATAAATAAACAATACTAATAGAATATGATTAAAAACTGAAACTTCAAATTTTCAATTTTCGAACAAAGGAATATAGAGAGGACTGATAACTGATAAACCCCAAAATTTTCTATTGTCTCTCTGCTAATTGTGTGCTCAAAAATGGTGAAGAACACAAAGAAATTGTCAAAAAGAGCCTGTTATCAGTTATCAGTTCTTCTCTCTCTGCACACCCGCTCCTCGTTTTATAGTCGAATTCGAGCCGCCTTTCCTTCTTCTTTTTTGACAGATTTCTGAAGAAATTTCGGGAGACTACGTGGCACTGATTGACAGGGAAATGATTGTGCCTGGTGTGACGACTCATTTTTGACAGGAGTTTTTTTTTTTGGGAGTAAAATGGAAATTTTTTGATTAAAAATATTAAGCGGGTGATGCAACTAGTAGTTTGAAATTTTGGACCCAATCTACAGTACCAGGCAATAAATTACACAAAAACATCTTTTTCACTTAACTTATGGTCATTTTGACCAGTTTCCGGAGCTTGAAGCTAGGCTGTCAAGTTTTCGAACACTTTGAAAATTTTGAAGAGTGTAAAAAAGACCTATATTGAAAACTTGGCGTTCAGAGAATGTTTGTTTCGAAAACTCCTAGTTTCAAAATTTTGCAGTTTTCTGAAAGACACCTTTTTTGTCCCATTTTCGTACTGAAATTGTGAGAAACAGGCGTCTCTAAAAAATCGACAAATAGCTGAAAAATTAGGCATTTTCAAACAATTTTGTAAATGCTAAGTTTTCAAACTAGGTCTGTTCTAGGTCTGTTCTAAACCCTCTAAACTTTTCAAAATGATCGGAACTTTGACAGCCGAACTTCAAAGTTCTAAAAATGGTCAAAATGTCTAGAAATCGACTGAAAAATATGTTTTCGCATATCTTATTGACCGGTACTGTGTATGAAAGGTTTTATCATTTTAACAGTAATTATCTAGGAGCAGATTTTTCAAAAAGGGGTTCTGAATTTCTGAATTTCTGAATTTCTGAATTTCTAAATTTCTGAATTTCTGAATTTCTGATTTTCTGAATTTCTGAATTTCTGAATTTCTAAATTTCTGAATTTCTGAATTTCTGAATTTCTGAATTTCTGAATTTCTGAATTTCTGAATTTCTGAATTTCTGAATTTCCGAATTTCTGATTTTCTGAATTTCTGAGTTTCTGAATTTCTGAATTTCTGAATTTCTGAATTTCTGAATTTCTGAATTTCTGAATTTCTGAATTTCTGAATTTCTGAATTTCTGAATTTCTGAATTTCTGAATTTCCGAATTTCTGATTTTCTGAATTTCTGAATTTCTGAATTTCTGAATTTCTGAATTTCTGAATCTCTGAATTTCTGAATTTCTGAATTTCTGAATTTCTGAATTTCTGAATTTCTGAATTTCTGAATTTCTGAATTTCTGAATTTCCGAATTTCTGATTTTCTGAATTTCTGAGTTTCTGAATTTCTGAATTTCTGAATTTCTGAATTTCTGAATTTCTGAATTTCTGAATTTCTGAATTTCTGAATTTCTGAATTTCTGAATTTCTGAATTTCTGAATTTCCGAATTTCTGATTTTCTGAATTTCTGAGTTTCTGAATTTCTGAATTTCTGAATTTCTGAATTTCTGAATTTCTGAATTTCTGAATTTCTGAATTTCTGAATTTCTGAATTTCTGAATTTCTGAATTTCTGAATTTCTGAATTTCTGAATTTCTGAATTTCTGAATTACAAATTTTTTTTTCAGATGCATAGGTCTTAAATTTTTAATTTTCAGAGAACTTTCAGGAAAATTCCAGGAAAATGTTTGAAATTATTTTCAAATTTTCGAAAAAATTCATGAAAACTCAATTTCAGCTTCTAGCTTC